TAAATATAAACAAAAGTATATAAAAAAATATTTAGGGTCACTAAAATTCTTTATCATACATTTGGATATGATTACATACAAAATCAACTTTAACAAAAAATGTTCTTGAAGACTAGGAGACCGCTGTTGGAAGCGAAAGAAAGCGAAATCTCAGTCTTTCACACTGAAGTATATGATAAATATGTAACGACGATCGGCTGTGTCCGTCTTACACTAAGTCAAGGTGACACCTGACAAACCTACTCCCCCGCTTTCGGAATGGACTGGTCTGCTCCTTGACAATCAGATGGGGAAGAATATGTCCGTGTCATGTGTAACGACGATCGGCTGTGTCCGTCTTAGTTCGGCCATCTCCGGTTGAGTGGAAAGCCTTCACGTGACTGGCAGCCAATTATAGAGATCATGTGGTGCATTGAAGGCTATAAGTTGTGACTGACACGGAGATTCGGGGTTCGGCGTTTGGTTTTGAAAGAGTGTAGACCTCTCAGGAGTTGAGATATTGCCTATTGCTTGCGTCCGGACAGCGTCTTTACGCTTCAGAGGACCTGTAAGTCACTTTAACATTTGTTTGTTTTTGTAACGTGGCGGGAAAATTCTGGGTGCTGGTCAGGTATTCACCTTAGCCCCACTTCCGGCGTTACAAATACATACACTGACGGGTCACTGAGAATCTAAGGGTATTTAACGTAGGTGTTGATCCATGATAATACGGAGATGTATTACTGACTCATTTATATTGAAGTCAGTACATTTATGTTAGTAGCTGTTGTAAAAGCTTCGCGTTCACCTATTTGTACAACATTATCCATATTATTTCATGTTAAATAACCGCCTCCGTGGTCTAGTGGTAGAGCATCCGCCCGGATAGCGGAAGGTTCGGGGTTTGATCTCCGGCCACTTCATACCAAAAGACGTTAAAGATGGTACTTGTTTTTACATTGTTGTCATAGCGACTGATTTGGGACACTCATTGTCTGAAGAACACTTGATTCCCACGCCATGATATGTATACTGAACAATAAAAGTTCCTGGGACATTGAATAAGATTTAATGCAAAGTTACGTTTTGTACCAAATCTGAAACAATTTCGGTTTGCAACAGATAAAAGACTCCTGTTAGTGTTCAGATGGTTTAATTTGCCATACTGACTTCAGAAAATGCGAGATTTCATAAAAAAAACCATGAACATGCCAAATTGTCAATTTACAAATCAATAGCGTGTGTGTCCACCTCTGGTTGCGATGCAAGCAACACATCTTCGTCTCATGGAATGGACGAGGCGTCGCAAAAAGTCCTGTGGGATTATCTGTCCATATCTGCTGGAGCATGTTTCGAAGTTCCTGGAGTGTCTGTGGAACACGTGGTTGACGTCGAAGGCGCCGATCCATCTCATCCCACATATACTCGATTGGTGAGAGATCAGGGGAGCGAGCCGGCCAGGGGATGACATTCACGTTGTTTTGTTGACGAAAATCCTGAACAAGTCGAGTAATATGAGGCCGGGCGTTGTCATGTTGAAAGGTAATGCATGGGCCATGACGACGCAAAAACGGTAGAACAACAGGGCCGATAATCTCGTCGCGGTAGCGCTGACCATTGAGATTTCCCTCTACCACTATCGAACGGGTCCTCTGTCTTGCTGTTATCCCACTCCATACCATAACGCTGCCGCCCCCGAAGCGATCTTCTTCCATGACACAATGATTGACGTAACGTTCACCTCGACGTCGGTACACTCGTATCCGTCCATCGCTGTGGCTGAGGTGAAAACGAGACTCGTCAGTGAATAGAATTTGTCCCCACTGCATGGCCGTCCAGCGTAGACGCTGTCTGCACCACTGTAGACGTGCTTGACGGTGGTTTCCTGTCAAAATGGGACGTCTGGCGGGTCTTCTGGCGACATCCCTGCACATCTGAGGCGACGACGTGCGGTTTGTAAAGATATTCGTCGAAGGCCAGGGATGCTTCTTGCAGTCACTGTTGCTGGCTGGAATCGATTTCGTAGGTGTGTTGTTCGAATCCAGTTGTCTTTTCGATTATTGGTGACGCGTGGTCTGCCACTCCGAGGATGGTCTCTGACTGCATTCGTCTGTTGCCAACGTTGCCATAAACACCAAATGGTGTTTCTGTGGACGTTAAATTGTCTTGCAACATCACGTTGACTCGATCCTGCTTCAAGCATACCAATGGCTCGTCGACGCTCATTTTCGGACAGTCGTGGCATTTCGTAATGTTGAATAATTGCGTAAATTTGTTGTTTTTTCTGAGTGGTTGTTGTCAGCACGATGCTAAACAATGCATATGGAATCCCGTTAACGCACATGTTTTTATACCCATTCTTGGGAAGTGAAATGCATGTGGCTTGCATAAAAGTCAACTTTTTCTGTAGCAGATGCGTTTTTGTGATTTGATTCCATATATGTACTACAATATTGAAAACCAAACTTTACTTGTTTGAAAAACACACTAAAATATTGATGTCACAGGAACTTTTGTTGTTGACTAAAAATATACAGAAAACAAAAAGGTTTGTGTGAGCAATGTTAACATACACACGTTTCTCTATTTCTTGTCTTCCCTTTCTGTCATTTGATTTATCAAGCATAAATAAGCATACATGTAAATCTATGATAGAGGGCGTTCTAAGTTGTGATAACTTGTAACCAATAATTGTTTTGAGAATTTTTTTGTTAAACTAACGGGATTAGGTGGTCAGGCTCGCTGGTTGATGCATGTCATTGTGTCCCCATTATGTAGATCGATGTTCATAATGTCAATCACTGGATTGTCTGGTCCAAACTCGAGTATTTACCGATCGGCGTCAAATAGAAGGAATATTGATGAATGCGGCGTATAACAACGAACAAACAAACAAATCAAACTGAACCGCGAAGTGTACCCCAAAAATTCGAGAAATCAGTAAATAAGATCAATGAATTATTAACAAATTATATTGAAATGCACCGGATTAGGTTTACAATCATTCAAGTCAATACAATGGTTCACTAATGTGACATCAGCACTATAAATGTCACGCCCCAATTACAAAGTCAGTGCACTCACAAATGTCCCGTATTTGTCACACGCAAACGGTTTGAAGGAGACACCTGCTCCGATCTCGAATGTAGAAATCAATGTTCGAAACAGGCGAAAGCGTCTGTGTTTTCCGATAGGTATGCCGTCCGCACTGGGACAATCTCAGTGCGTCTCGCTATAATATAGGAAGGGTCAGCCTTTCAGAAGTTTCTACAACAAGGTGATGTAAACAAGCACTAGATAAGCTCCTTACAGACGTGTTCTCGATACCAGTAGGTTAACGAAGGTAGCAAGCGCTGGGCGGAATTTTGAATGTAAACCAACCAAGGGAGGTCGCTCTCTATCAAGGTCAACATTATACGAGCCCTTCCATCAATTTAGCATTCATTATCATCAGACATACGGTTACAATACACCCTGCCACATAGCACGTGTCTGTCAGTAGAAACAGGACTGGGTATAAATCACTAGGTTGCTCTGTAATGCAAATAAAATGAATTACACGGAATGTTTGGAATTTATCTAAAAAGTATGGTGTCTGGGTGGGGTATCCATGTTAAACTGCGACATGCTATCTCAGAGGGCTGTCACTATAAAACCGGCATTCTAATTATTCGCGGACAAGTAGACACATACGCACGCACGCAGACACACACACACACACGCACGCACACACACATACACACACACGCACGCACACACACATACACACACACACGCACGCACGCACACTTACCTGTAATCAACCAAATCCGCCGTCACCGAGGCTGACCCCTAATCCATTTAGTCTCGGAATCCAATAGGTGCTTAAACCATGATGAAATACAGACAGTTCGACTTTTTAGTTGCTCAGTGGCTGTTGAAAAGGTGGTTGGTTGGTTGGTTGGTTGCTTAACGCCACACTCAGCAATATTCCAGCCATATGACGGCAGTCTGTAAATAATCGAGATTGGACCAGACAATCCATTGATTAATAACATGAGCATCGATCCACGCAATTGGGATACAATGACATGCATCAACCAAGTCAGCGAGCCTGACAACCCGATTCCGTTAGTCGCCTCTTATGACAAGCATAGTCGCCTTTTATAGCAAACATGGGTTGCTGAAGACCTATTCATCTTCACGGGTTGGTTATTGAAAAGGCAGCGATAGGATATTAATACTTTCACACGGTGACACATTATGCCTGTGACAGGAATCTAACATACATTACGTGACACCTTAGGATTGAAATTAGATTTTTTACTCTGACTGGATACCTATCTTTGTGATGATATGACAAGTTCTCAATGGAAAGTTGTGTGATTTGAACCATGAGCGAACTTTGACCGCCCACTCTTAATCAGTTGTCAGCTTTTTGATTTCGGCTATACCTAATATTTCTTTGTTACCTCGATTCGGAATTTTTAAGTTTTAACAAAATTTGTTTGTTTGTTTGTTGTTTAACGCCCCACTCAGCAATATTCCAGCTGTATGATGGATGTCTGTAAATAATCGAGTCTAGACCAGACAATCTAATGACTGACACCATGAGCATCGATCCACGCAATTGGGATGCGATGACATGCATCAACCAAGTCAGCGAGCCTGACCACGCGATCCCGTTAGTCGCTTTTTACGACAAGCATAGTTTTAACCCACAAAAAAACAGAAATATTCCTTCGATGGCATACCATTTTGGATTAGATGCAAGAACGCTCAGAAATGGTGCATACAATATCTACAGCAATACAATATCACGGCCTTTATTGTTTGGCATTCGGTTATGATACAGACATCAGAATGATATGCTACTCTGAATACTTTGCCCACTCACCCTTGGCATTTAGGATCTTCGATACTCATTCACCTATTGCTACCTTCTGTGGATTGTGTGACAGATCTTCACGCTGACCTGATATTAATGGGATTGTACGAGCCACCATTTGAGCTTTCCAAAGGCATGGAGAACAGAACATGAATTGTGTTACATCACAGTGTTTATTTGCATTGATGTTATTAACTGGCCCAGTGCACAAGGCGAGGAACGTCAAAAGTGATAACTAATGAAGGAAGAGCACGCTTTAGCAGCAAATATAATAATGTGCATAAATCAGTTGTGCCTAATAACTGGTAGTTCATTTCATGTCATATTTTTATCTGTTTAGATACCTCTCTAGAAACAAGTTATGTTGTCATTGACTGATTGGTCAGCTTTGAAAAGGATCATTTCTCAACAGGATGGACCCCAAGCTGAATCTTGACGTATGAAGAATACAAAAATATAAAATTATACAATAAAGATTGAATTTGATAAAAAAGTATTCAGCTCCTGGGAACAGGTTTGGATACCTTACGGGATGCACTGAATGCATACGCGGTGTTGTGGTGTCAATCTTTAGTAATGGACTGAGGCCGTGTATCATTCAAGGAAGTGAATCCAACCCCATGCATGCGTTTCGTGCAAACACTACTCTCTGTGGCGCATGACGTTTGTTGCACGAGACATATTGCCTTTTATTTTGCGATGTAATGTGAACACTCATATGTTTTTAGATTGATTATCAAATATAAACGTGTTATGTTTTTGTGGCTTACACTTGCATCATTGACATTAAAGAAGGTTTCAAACGACAAAAACGGTGACACAATTTTGGAACACATTGAAGAATCCTTCCACAAAAATATAATCATTTGCATAAACTAGTCCAAATACATAATATTAGAATTTAGTTTGTCATCCAATAAAAATAAGAAATATTAACATTTATTTATTCTCTTTTACACGATAAGTAGAATTGGTAAAACATATTATGCAGGGGTGATTGACAGTTTACGACCAATTTCAAACAATATTCATAACAGCCATTACTAATTTTAGGAGAACCCAGTTCTTTGTGACAGGTGTAAGTTCTAACCACTACCTGACCACCCTATCATAACAATATTATATTCACATACTTATAGTGGAAAAAAATAGAAGAAAAAACGAGGATGATTTATCAAAATGTGGAAGAATCAGCTGATTCATATACAACTCACAATATTGGTTACAAAAATAATACTCTACAAACTATAAATGAAGCAAAACGACTAACGCATAAAAAATAAGGAATGCTATTCAAATCAAATCCTGGTTTGTTTTATACCTTAGCTGTGATACATGACTTCATCGCAATATGGCTGCAATATCGCCGATGCGATGTGAAATTTAAACTCACTCACTCACTCACTCAAATCAAATCGGATTATAATAATAAGGGGCGAAAGCTAACCAAATAGTATCGCTGGAACTAAAATCTTTCTAAATCAGAGAACAGCTAACTATAAGACGAAAAAAACCGACCAAAATACTGAAAAGAGGCTGAAAGTAATGAAGCTAAATCATAATTATATCTCTTTTTCACAAAAAAGTAGAAAGGACACAATTTAAAATATTGACCAATATCAGAAAAAATCAGAAAATTAAAAACGAAATGATACAAAACAAATTTAAATAAGGCGAATGACTTCAAGCCTTAAACATAATTATGAATGGATATCCCCCATCTCTAACGCTTATACTAATTCAGGCTAACGTTAGTCCTAACCTGCTCTGAAATAAAATTTCATCAATTCTTTTGGTGAGATATAAATAATTTTATGCCTTGGGTTAATAACGCTTTACTATAAGGCATGAACCACGTTTTCCCTTTAAGATCTAGAGGCAATCTATGGTAGGAACAGACAGATTTACCATTAAATAATCGGACAGACTCTCTTATAAAACAAGATTTCATATAAACGGATAGCTGGTCAATTTCACGATTATTTTCTGATAAAACACACTTGATTTATTACGTGGAAGTAGCAGTCATTTGGTAAAGAGAAAGTTTAAAATGTATTAATTCTCTTTCAAAGTAATAAATATAAGAAAAGAATGTGTCAATTGTATACACAACCATGCACACATACATTCTGACATAAATTGGGAAACAATCTTGCTTCAGTATGATTTGTTACGAGCGACAAAACCAAAATGTGCAAAACCCAAAGAGATGTGACATTGAAACTACATATGTTCGTTAACTATTTATGCATTATAAGTAAAGTTCCGAAAATAAATTCTAAATTCTTCATCAGACGTCCTGTACACCCGATGTTGATACTTTGGCCCTGTGCCGAGATGCCATGGCACCAGAATGCTGTGAATTAACCTAGAAATACATGAAACACACATTGTAGTTAAAGTTTACACCACAAATATTTCAATATTGATGCTAAACATGTAATTTCGAGTTGTGGTTCATGACCAGTTGACGGCAGATTGGCTTGGAGTGAGTGAGTATGGTTTTACGCCGCTTTTAGCAATATTCCAGCAATATCACGGCGGGGGGACACCAGAAATGGGTTTCACACATTGTACACATGTCGGGAATCGAACCCGGGTCTTCAGCGTGACGAGCGAACGCTTTAACCACTAGGCTACCCGACCGCCCCAGATTGGCTTGGAACCCATGGGGATTCCGGGAAAGACTACAGTCCCAATCAATCTATGATGCCCAAAATGTGTTCTTGGCAACGTTGAAAGGCCTTGCCATTGATGCTTGTGATTCACCAGCTTCAATTCTACCAATGACGTTATTTCTCGCATTATTAATCAATCTCTGTATGGCAAGTTTCACTTGTTTAACTAAATGATTACTTAAAACATGAGTTAAAACCCGTGACAAACTCCTTGACTTTCACCAAAAAAAAAAACTTTTAAAAATTTTCAAAAGAAAAGGAATCATGCAAGTGTCAAAGTTATCAATCTTGACTTTATTTTCAAGTGCCAACCTTCCATCCACGAATTTACTTTTGAAAATACTGTTACCACCTGCGCGTCCTAACATTCAGTGGACCCGTGAAGATGCGGGCTAGAATAGGTATTCAGCAACCCACACTTGGCGTAAAAGGCGACTATGCTTGTCATAAGAGGCGACTAACGGGATCGGAAGGTCAGGCTCGCTGACTTGGTTGATGCATGTCATCGCATCCCAATTGCGTGGATCAATGCTCATGAAGGCAATCACTGGATCGTCTGGTCCAGACTCGATTATTTACAGAATCGCCGTCATATAGATGGAATATTGCTGAGTGCAGCGTTAAACAACAAACAGACAAAACAATAACATTCAGTGATGAGTACCTTCTTTAATCAAACTACTGGGATTTGCGTCGTCCTTGGAAACAGATTTCTGTGAAGCTTCAACATTGCGCAACGTCGACCCATCCACCATGGTCGGCGATACCAAGTCGTCACTGTTGCAGCCAGTTGGAATATCTGGAAAACACAAGCCCAGATTGATTATATTAAATACTTATCTAGATTCGAACTAGAAAAAAAAAATTTCATTGTTTTAATATCCATATTATTGCTCAATGATTATTCCGGAACGAAAGTTATGTCTCATATCCTGACCATCCATCTAGTGGAATTGAGTGATCATAGTTTGACCCAAGTTCGAACAGTATTTCAACCCGTGGGTATACCGGGTAAGACTATAGGTCCCCTATATTGGTGGCCATCTATCCGGTGGAATTGAGAGAACGTGGTGTAACCCCGGTTTGAACAGTATTTCGACTGGGGGGATTCTGAGTAGGAATATAGGCCACTTGCAAACTTGTCGCAAGAGGCGACTAACTGGGTCGGGTGGTCAGGCTCGTTGTTTTGGTTGCGGATCGATGCTCATGTTGTCAATCACTGGATTACATGGTCCAGAATCGAGTATTTGCAGATAAATGGAATATTGCCGAGCGCAGTGTAAACGACAAACAAACGAACATGGAACAGCATTCCAATTGGTGGTGTCAAGTGGTGTCGAATGTATGGATCGTTGCTCGGGCCTTCTTTCACTGGTTTGCCTGGTCCAAATGCGATTATTTAGAGTGGTTGTTATGGGTGAGAGAGCGATTGAGTATGGTTTTACGCCGCTTTTAGCAATATTCCAGTAATATCGCGGTGGGGGACAGGGGTAATGGGCTTCACACATTGTATCCATGTGGGGAATCGAACCCGGGTTTTCAGCGTGACGAGCGAACGCTTTAACCACTAGGCTTATGCCACCGCCCCTGGTATAATGATGGCGATAGTGGCTTTCAAACAAGATAGTGATGCATGCGATTAGGTATATGACACACAATCGGCTTGTTCTCATATTGCAAGTCGACATACCCGAGAAGATCCGGGTTAGAATAGGTCTTCACCAATCCATGCTTGCCGTAAAAAGCGACTACGCTTGTCATTAGTGGCGAAAAACGGGGTCGGGTGGTCAGACTCGCTGTCTTGGTTGATGCATGTCATCGTATCCCAATTGCGTGGATCGATGCTCATGATGTCAATCACTGGATTGTCTAGGACTGACTCGATTATTTACAGACCGTCGTCATATAGGCGACGTTAAACAAGAAACAAACAAAGTTATTATTAATTCATACCAGATAACAAGAGTAAATCACATCAATCCTGAATTACAATTACTTGAATATGACCTCAATTATTATTAAAAGTCATAATACCAGGATTACCTTACCTGTGCAAGTCTGTTCCTTCCCTGCTCTCCTTTCTTCGGACTGCAAAACAACAACAGAAGATATTAACATGTATGTGTACATCAGGTAAGACGTGTGTCGTAACAAGTAAATTATATATGCTCACTTGGTCTGTATTTCTTGAATAGGGCAGCGATTTGGACATGGTTATCTGGGATTCATATCGGGCAATGGTCTCCCTTATTCCCTCGATAATCTGAAAAACAAATCACATATTCATCCTTAAATATATAGCTCTAGTCTATAATATTCTATTAGTCACTATAGTAAACTACGTTTATAACGGACACCTTATAACGAACTGACGGATATAACAAACTGCATTTTTGTCCGTCTATTTGCTGTGTATATGCTGTATATATGCTTATAACGAACTGCAGTTATAACGAACTAAAATTAGTGGTCCCTTTGAGTTCGATATAACCGTAGTTTACCGTATATGTGACTTAAATTAGCCACACATGCACTCCAAACAGAAACTGTCTTTCTTTTCCTTATCTAACATTAGTGGTCCCTTTGAGTTCGTTATAACCGTAGTTTACTGTATATTTGACTTAAATTAGCCACACATGCACTCCAAACAGAAACTGTCTTTCTTTTCCTTATCTAACAATCAGTTGGTTTAAATTAAAATAATATCCTAAATATCGATAAAAATCTAAATAATAAGTTACGTATATTTTAATCCACTCACCGCTCTGTTAAGGCCACAATGCATTATGAAAATCAGGAAACCCTGAAACACAAAATATGTCCACCAGTTCATCAAATAATAAAATCTTAAAAAGGCAAAAGGCTAATTTGTATCGAGTAGAATCCATCTTTGTTAAATTGCTAATTACACATATACGAATTAATAAACATCACCTGCAACGAATTGAAGACAGCAAAGAGATACTGAAAGACGACGGTTTCCTCGTTGATAGCAAGAACACCAAACACCCACGTAACTCCAAGAACTGGCATCAGAACACACAGGCTCCGAACCGTAGTCCTGAAAGACAAAGATCGAGACTTCACCAAATTTGTCCACATGTTCATGGTAATCGTACAAGCTGATTTGAATGGGTTTCCTGTTGCTTTAGCAGATGGAACAACGGAAGCACACAAACAAGATATTGTCCTTGTTCAAAGCTGTGACGATACAATATACTGAGAATACCTACTAAATATTGATGACACGTCGGAAAGTACATGCCTTACTAACATACACCAGGGCAAGCAATCTCACCCGTTTTGCCAGCAACTAGTGTAATCACAATCATTTGGAATTGCAGTTATCTAAGAATTTGTCACTTCCATATTGTTTTTACTTTACATGTGGAAAATATACGACCTCAAGTTCTTACATCTTGATAATACACTTAACATATAGGGTGGTATGGTGATGGGATTTTTGAAGGTTGAACTACAAGTTAAACTTCAGGTATACTGCCATATATTGTCATATTATTTTCACAGTCTTGGGATTTTAATGGGATTATGATAAAACAGCAAAATGTGGAAATATTTTTCTGGATTTAGGAACTGCAATTATGGATGTGCTGGGGATGGGGCGGTATGTATGAATATGTTTGTAAGATGGTGAGTAGTCACTTTCTAGTCCTTGGGCTTCCTTGAAAATGGACCTCTTGGTTACCACATAATGTTTATTCAAGATTCAAGACATACACACGTGTTTCTCTTAAAGGAGAAGCATCGGGGCACTGTGGCACGCAATCACCAAGGTCAGCAAGACTGATCCATATAGTCTCCTCTTGCAACCGATTGTAATTCGGAATCAGCATAGGGGTTATGGATTCCGTCAGGAGATCAATGAAAATATCAACGAAATGCAACTAGAATATTACTTACACTATTTTTTCCTTATTTCTTTTATTGACCATCATCCTTGTTGAACACAGCACACGAAAGATGATCGCGATGATCACGGCATTGGCCTGTGTAAAGTAACGATGAGAGTTACATGGAATTAGCAACAATACCAGAAGCATTACTTAACAACAAATCAAACAAATTGTGCATTGGCGACCAATCATCACATAATTTCTCTTTTTTAGACCTTCCACAAATGGAGCATTAAGAGCAGAAAAAAGAAATTTATAGAAATTAATTAGTAGTTTAGAACAAGGCGATACGAGATTTAGTCATCGTGATGTGATATTATTTCCTACTCATTGTATGAGCTGAAATGGGGTTCAACGTCGAGTTTAAGATTATTGCATTTATATAGCGCCGTGCATGCACGCGCGCGCGCGCGCGCGTGTGTGTGTGTGTGTGTGTGTGTGTGTGTGGCTGCTTGTACTGGTCCGGACTGATGCCGATTTATAGTGCTGGCTCACTCAAGATACTATGTCTCATGAATATCCCACACAGACACAGTATACTGACTCCGAGCCGACCAGTCCTTGTTTGCCGAACACAAGGTTGTTTAACGCAGCACTCAGCAATATTCCAGCTATATGACGGCGGTCTGTAACTTATCGAGTCTGGACCAGACAATCCAGTGATTGACATCTCGAGCATCGATCCATGCAATTGGGATACGATGATATGCATCTACCAAGTCAGCGAGCCTGACCACCCAACCCCGTTATTCGCCTCTTACAACAAGCATAGTCACCTTTTGCAGCAAGCATGGGTTGCTGAAGACCTTTTCCAACCCGGATCCTTACGGGTCTGTCCCCGATGTGACACGTACTGCCTTTCATCATCACTGTAACTATCATCAACCATCAACTGGATCCCCAGCAACCTATGCTTTTATGTGACAACGAATAGGATCGGTGGCCAGGCTCAGTGACTTATTTGTTAGCATTGACATCAAATACCAATTGCGTGGGTCGATGCCCATGATGCCAATCACTGGTTTGTCCGGTTCAGATTCGACTATTCACAAGCAGTCGTCACATAGATGGAATATTGCTGAATGCTGAGTTAAACAACAAACTTACTCAATTACTGAGATTTTTCTTTACTAATTGCAGTATTACCAAAACCACGTGTATCTGTAGTGATGATATAAGTCTAGTTGGTGTATCGTGCAGTATGTGAATACTTTGCTAAAATATGTTTGGCAAGTTGTTTCATCTATAACTTTGATATTTTGATGAAATGTCATTTAATGCCAGAACTTGTTTTCGGAGCAATATCGCTGTAACTTACAAAGGCAAACACAAAGTAGCAAATTGCGTGTGAGCAGGCTTTTGACCATATCAATGAAATCGGTCTGTATATTACATTGTGATTATATATCTGAAAGAAAATCACGTTCTTTATATTAATTAAATAGTATGAATAAGTGCATGCATTACATGTTTTAAATGGTTGTTCATAAAGGTGTCAAGGTATTTGTCTACCTTAATAGTTTAGTCTCTGTCATTTAACTTACAGTAATACTTTTCATGTTAAGAGGTTATTATGAATGCATAAGCTGCCCAAACAGCCATATGTTGTGATGCGAGACAGAGGTTATTTTGTTGGGAATATTTACATTTCTGCAGAAGATTATGGCCGAATAACATATTCTTTAAATTTTAAGAATCCATATATTACATAACGAGAGGCTTATGTTACTCTTTCGTTCATTTTGATATTGCTAGGCGTCATATTGATACTTCTACTTCAGTGATACTTCAATAGATGTTAATGCTATAAGGTAAGGTGAATTCAACGTCGCGTTCAAGATTGACTTACATATATAGCTTCACACAGAGGCGGTCCTTTACTGCCAACAATAAACATTATCATGAGGATTGCATACACGACTACCCTACATTTATACCAATGACTCTAAATCTGAAAAGGAGCTATGATACTGCTGTCGTAATTCTGGTTGGTGTTTGTCTTACAAGAACGACGAAGAGAGCTGGTCCAACAAAAGCAAACAGGATGCCATCCGTTACAGTCAACCAGCAGCTGTAATGTCAATGTCAAATAATAAAAATCATACCATACAAGGCAGCATGAATAACGCAAATTTAAATTACATCATAATTTATTCAAAACTGAACAATAACGCTGTTAGTGTCAGAACGTGTCATGGCATAGTAGACTGAACCAGAAGAATGATTTTTGATGCCCTAAACGTACCATACTCTGCAAACAAAAACGCAAAAGTTTTAAAATCGTTGCCGACATCCATCCCCAAATGAATTGGGATTGATTTGTGTGGAAAGAATGAGATACTGGAGAACTTTGGTGACACGATGGGAAAATCGCAAAAAAACACACAACCACGTGAGAGCCTGGCTCCGAAATACACCAACATGACATGCACGTGCAACATTACGTGGGCTATTTGCATGCCATCACTATCTTACACCAAGTGAACAACATGCCACGACTGACGGAAGCTAAACGCAACGACGCCATCAGCCGACTGCAAACAGGAGAATCATCTTCAGCTGTAGCCAGGTTTTTTCATGAAGCACCAAACACCATTACAAGTCTGTGGAACTGTTATCACAAACACGGGACAACACGTGTCCGTACCAGATCTGGTCGACCACGTATCACTACTAGAGCACAGGACAGATTCATACAGCTCATCACTAACGTGACAGAACAACCACTGCCACCTCCACAACTACGACAATAGCAGGATTGCGTAGGATATCAGCCCAGACAGTGAAGAACCTTTTTCACGCTGAAGGTATTGCGCTGCACGACCAGTTCGAGGTGTCATTTTGACGTACCTGCATCGTCGGCTGCGACGTCAAAGGAGGCAAGGCCACAGAGTATATCCACAGCTGCGATGGAGACAAGTTTTGGTTTAGTGACGCGTCACGTTTTATGCTTCGCCGTGCGGATGGGAGATGTCTTGTTCACAGGCGTCGCGGGTAACGTTATGCACGAAACTGCCGACAGAAAATGGACATATTTCGTTCTGGTTATGTGATGACGTGGGCAGCCATCTCCTACTCTGGTAGAACAGACTTGGTGCAAATTCTGGGAAATTTAACGGCGCAACGTCACACGGATGAGATTCTTCGGCCACACGTCCTTCTCATTATGCAACAAGCGACCGTCATTTTCCAACAAGACAACGCCAGACTTCACACGGCAAGACTGACAATAGCCTTTTTCGGGAATGACAACATCCAGGTCCTGCCATGGTCCCCAGGTCTCCAGATTTAAACCGAGTCGAACATTTATGGGTTGCAACGGATCAACGACTGCGAGAACGTCAGCTACAACAACAACCACACTCCGACAGTTGGCACAAGCATTGCAGGAAGAGTTGGTGAACATTCCCCAGGCCAAAATTCGGGATCTGATTGCTTCCATGGGACGGCAATGCCGGACAGGTTTGGGCTCTTATGGTGGCCATACAGATAACCTTCACCTTGGAAATCTACTCTTCCTTGTGTGCCATACGGAACCTGGGTCAATGACACTGATGTGCCCCAATTTGGAACTATCGATTACCATCTGTTGAATTTTATTTGATATTTTAAACATACATCTAAAAATCATTTTTGCGTTTCTGGTTTTTCAGAGTATATACGTATAAACCAAAGCCTTATCTGAAACTTATCCATAATCAATAATACTACCAAGAAAGAACTTTCTTTATACTCACAGGAAATATTTCACACGCATAGAATTTGTGCAATGTGGATTCTCAAAAGTATAATCATGCTTGATTGTTTTGCAATCCCATCGATTATCTGCCGAGGCAGATTCCATTTGGTAAATTATATGAACAGATCACAGTAAATCCAATGTATCCACCTCTATTCCACACGATAAACTTCATTCGTTAATCTATGGGGCATATATATCTCAACGTGGTGGACATATACCAGCACATATATTCAAAGGTTCAGGACAGTTTTTCAAAATTGTAAGAATATGTCATCTTATGTTCACTGAAAAATCAATATGTCAAATGTTGGACTTCCGCTTAGATAGACTTCCGGATATGACATTGAGGCAAGAAGAAGTCATAACCATGGGCACCAATAGTGGTCCTTTCTGATCTGTTTCTTTTGAGGACATTTCCAAATTTGACGCATCGGTGATACATATGATGTACCACATGTTCTGTGCTTGTTCAGGTAAACACTTGAGTTTGGATGTGGTTGTGACGCATTATTTACCACCTTTGCTGATACGCATACCCCAAAGACTCGCTGACATTTTACTTCAGATTTTCTGAATTACAAGTACTTGTCGCATGTAAACCTGTATATATTCCCTTTGTCTGATTCATCGTGCCCATTCAAATACGACATGGGTGTGTGTCCACAATGAAAGGACATTTATTTATGGTTACTTCTAAATATTGATATTATGTTTTAATGCCTCCGAGTCTATTTAAAGACGTTTGTTTTTAGGAATGATGGTCTATACTAGTCCAACTTACAACTGGTCATTTCCGTATCCCTCCAGCTTGGTGATCCCCAGGGTAATACCCACTATAACTGCTGGCACACCTGTTCAGACGATAGATTAAAAATACCTTTTCGTTTATTTGTAACAAATCGTTCTATTGATTTTCTTCATTTTTAATATACTGAATACAACCCTGAAATAACTGGCCTCGACGATATTGCTCATTGGGTTAACGCCTTTTTGAAGTTATATTACTGTATGTCATGTTGCTGTGGGAGGGTTCCGGAAGTGACGCAGGCCTTTGTAACTCCGGAGAAACCAAAGTCCACTGATATGGTGCTGACAAACCCGGAAACAAAGTCAGGTCGAATATGGATAAAATCTTTTTAAAGTAATACTGTACATTGATTGACTTGATTTAGGTCTCGAAGGCGTCAGCTATTAAAGATAACGTATTCACCGGCATTATTTCGATATATACCGGCGATATATTATTTCATATTTAAATACAAAATAATATATATGTTTTAGAAATATTACATTATAACATACTGTTTAAAAGATGGTTAAGTAAACATCCTATTTTCCTATTACACAATCTATCATAATCATTATATAACAGGAACGGTTCGATTGATTGAGAAAATTGCATGAACATGGAGTTTGGAGCTGAAAAAGAGTGGATTGCTTTTGTTAATGTCAATCTATGTTTGAAGGCAAGGTTACCCCAGGCTAGAGGGAGCACGAGCCCCAACCTTGAACTCTTCCTGAAAACCACGGCAACCTGAACGGCGATGTCGATCCCCTGGGCGAGCATGAGGGAGAAGACTGCCAGGAAGAAGTAGTGCAACATGGCCGCCACGGCTGTACACACGGCCTGGAAACAAGGAGGAAGAATGCTTTCTTTATCACAAATATCAGTCCAGCGCAGTTACTACATTTTGTAAACAACCTCTTGTTACTTACTTATTTGGTCCTTTTTCCTTTTCGTGCTTTGTGTTAAAACATGCAGCTAAGCATAATAAATAAAAAGAGGTGAGTTTTGTGATTGTATTAGAACAATACATGTTAACCATTTAATAATTAATATTTTATGATTGAGATTAACTGAAATTACTACATTTATGAGAGTAGTTGTCTGTACGTAGTTGTACTCCTATTTAGTGCTCCGATCCTTTTGGGCGACCTTCCAAAACGTGACCATCCCACATAAAGAGTGGTGATTCCGGCTCTGACTTATTTTAGTTTATTACTGAACTGTATCTAGCCTCATCACCTTGTTCTCCGTCCGCTCCACGCCAGCCAGGAAGACGCTGTAGGCGCAGGTCAACGCCACGCAAAGGTTCATCAGGATGATGGTCTTGGAAGAACGGACATGGCTGTGTACAAAAATGTTTACTGATGATGTCCCTTCTTTGTAAGCTTTATTTATACAATTCTCTTTGGTCCCGGCACGACGTATGCTTGTCGTACGTAACGACTTAATGAACAGGTTGTCTGGCTCGGGGTTGATGGCTGTTCCTATTATCAATCATTGGTTTGCCTGATCCAGAATCAGTTATTCGTAGGTCATATTCATTTGAGGACTATTTATTGATGAGTGCGGCGTTCTGCGCGAACAAACTAGGACGCCTCGTTCTTCATGCACTGGTAGTTGTGGAACTATTCTAACCTTGAATACACACGGGGTTAGTTGTGGTATGTTCCACTTAAACCATTCTTTCAACTCCGAATATGGACATATAACAAGATCAGATGGATGAAGTGTGGACATTTATGGCCAAAGACGTGCCTTTAAAGGTGGATCAACAAATGTAAAACAGCGCCCCCTACCTCCACAACAACGCATGTGTCAGCATTGTCACCACACAGCCCAGGATAGACAGGGAACAGCCCACTATGGAGATGATTTTCAGGTGATGTAAGTGTTTTGCAGACTGAAAATTGGAAAATTCTTAATGACCATGACCGCATACTGTCTTTGTAGTTTGATGCGTGTTTGATGACGAATAATTTAGTTGTAAGGCCACTTAATGTTGAATGGGTGAATGTTTCATGCCCTTCCGGTAGCATCCGTTCTTACCGGAAATATTACTGACACACAGTTGATGTCATTCGTTCCAGAGTTAAAGAAGCGTCCTTGTATCATTCCTGTTAGATTTTTGTTATATCTGCAGATAGTTTATCTTAACTAGTTTAAGCCATTTTAGGAACCAACACGTTTGGTTCACGGGATCTAGTGAGAGTTCTCAGGCCGCTGTATGCCAGGGGTATTGCTGGGTGCGGCGTTAGGCAACAATTCCGGGTACTACCGGTAGAGCAGGACATCCATACTAACCCTTTTCGGGAATAAGTGGTGTCATCACTTATTTTCAGTGATCGTTCATTTGATTTCCATCATTAGTTTGCCTCTTACGCCCAATGGAATCTGGTTTAGTAGATACTCGAGATTTATTATAATCTGGCTTTGACTTTTCAAATTCCCACAAAGTAAACGTACCTAGGGAGGATGTAATTAATTGGATGAGTTAATTACCACGTGGCGTCCTGGGCTCATAAGAATAGCGAAGTTGGTAAGATGGTTGCATTCACAGCTTGTGTAGGAACTGTTCACGTCTTTGCCCGTGCAGCCGTCTGTCAGCCATCGACTGAAACATCATACGTAGGAAACATCAAATAGAGCAACTTGGGGCGCAAACTCCGTGGACTTGCAGGGAGTTTGATTGACAATGGTCATGTGTTTCTGTTCCAACAACTGCCATTGATTTTCGTCGATATTTGTCTACCGTTAATCAAACATAATACATTTTGAACAAGCATGGATTAGTACGAATCGTCATAAGGAATAGTTCCTGTAAAGATCGACCCGTGAAGATTCCGGGGTAGAATTCCGCCGCACTCAGCAATATTCCAGCTATATGACGGCGGTCTGTTAATAATCGAGTCTGAACCAGACAGTCCAGTGATTGACATCATGAGCATCGATCCACGCAATTGGGATACGATGACATACATCAACCAAGTCAGCGAGCCTGACCACCCAATCCGGTTAGTCGCCTTGTACGACAAGCATAGTCACCTATTACGGCAAGCATGGGTTGCTCATGACCCATTCTACCCCGGATCTTCAGGGGTACGAACGTTAAAGAATGAGGTGGGCATGGCATTCTCTGGAATCAGACTATGTTCGGTGACGAATCGAGGTTTCCATGGACTCGGCAGATGGCATTCAACGTACATGAATTCAATGACGGAGGACGCTGAAAAGATTTACCTTTTATCGAAATCCCAGTACCCACATTCTGACTCTGAATAGTTTCCCTGAAAATAGTATTAAATGTAGAAGATATTATTTGACATAAGTTGGAACTCACGATTTACGAGAATACAAGAGGAAATGTTCTAAAGGATATTTTCTTAAGTATCGGTCATACGTTTTCAATCCCGTATTAATAGCATAGATATAATAAATTGCCAAATATGTGAATGAATTCTTTACCTTTAAATGATGAAAGTCAAGGTATATTTTCATCTTCAGGTTTGAAAGTTTCTTTCCTCCAATGTTCACAGCAAGTGAAAGGATCTGAGAATTGACTTCTTTAGTGCTTGTTTCTTCTCTAAACGTGCGAAATATAAAACGTATTCGTTTTAATCGTTAAATCCAACTTATATGCACACGCTAAGGAGATTAACGATGTACATAATAGTAAAGGAAATGTTTAAGGAAGTCTTAGACCATTCGGATATATAGCCAAAGGTTGTATTCATTAATTCACCGAAAGAAAGATTGCTCCTAGTGAGAAACCCGCCTGTTACGTGTAAAGGAGGCTATGTGTGTAATCCGCCTATGATGTGTAAGTGATCTGCCTGTTAAATGTAAAGGAGTCTATGTGGGTCACTGTGTAATCCGCCTATAATGTGTAAGTGATCTGCCTGTTACGTGTAAAGGGGTCTATGTGTGTAATCCGCCTATGATGTGTAAGTGATCTGCCTGTTAAATGTAAAGGAGTCTATGTGGGTCACTGTGTAATCCGCCTATAATGTGTAAGTGATCTGCCTGTTACGTGTAAAGGGGTCTATGTGTGTAATCCGCCTATGATGTGTAAGTAATCCACCTGTTACGTGTAAAGGGGTCTATGTGTGTAATCCGCCTATGATGTGTAAGTGGTCTGCCTGTTACGTGTAAAGGAGTGTATGTGTGTAATCCGCCTATGATGTGTAAGTGATCTGCCTGTTACGTGTAAAGGGGTCTATGTGTGTCATCCGCCTATGATGTGTAAGTGATCTGCCTGTTACGTGTAAAGGGGTCTATGTGTGTAATCCGCCTATGATGTGTAAGTGGTCTGCCTGTTACGTGTAAAGGAGTGTATGTGTGTAATCCGCCTATGATGTGTAAGTGATCTGCCTGTTACGTGTAAAGGGGTCTATGTGTGTAATCCGCCTATGATGTGTAAGGGATCTGCCTGTTACGTGTGTGTAACGCGTCTATCCCGTTTATCTAACCTATTTGTCACGTGTGTGTAACAAGTCCCTCAGATAAGTGCAATCCGTTTGCGATAAACCATGGAAACCCACATACAGGTTTCACGTCCAGGTGACTACATATAATTGGACCTGTAATCTGCTCAGTGACTTGCTGGACCTCAGAAGACCTGACACTCTATCTGTGTCCTACCAGGTGAACAATGTTTAGGTATATTATGTACAAATTCATTTGTTTCTGATATGTAAAAGTGTATGTGACATACAATTGTATCTAAGATGTTTGACTTGAATTACCTGTTTTAAAATGATCTACATTTCGCTTCATGAATGCGTATAAAAAAATATTGGGACGTTACACAACACAGATACAACATCAACATTTGCATTTTCATGATATTCCAGAGATGCTGTAGGTCGTTGATACATCATAATACATTATTATCATTCAAACATTCCATTATCACAATACACCGATCCAAAATACCCCGCCTCCATCCTAAACCACGCCCACTCGGTAAATCTTGGACAAATGCCCACTATATGTGTATGCCTGAAAACTCGTGTTAAAATATTGGTGTAAAATTTTATATATGCCTGACTCAAGGTTTGTAAAAATCCTAAATTTTGTTACTTCGATAACACAAACTAAACTTAGAGAAAATATATAAAGTTAGAGAAAATATTATGTTCAAGTTCCCATCGCCTAAGAATTGAGTGAGTGAGTGTATATGGTTTTACGCCGCTTTTAGCAATATTCCAGCAATATCACGGCGGGGGACACCAGAAATGGGCTTCACACATTGTACCCTAAGAATTGAATCAGGAAGTTAAACTAAAGAAAAAAAAAGAGAAGATAGAATTCGTATTATTTTAAAGGCGAATATCATTTTATTTTGATGTTTAAAACATATGATGATATTAGAGCCTAATTAATAGCAATAGCATATTATACATATGCTACTAGACACAAGTTTAATGTATAAATGACGCCCTCTAATGAATACACCATCAAAAACCTATCGATGACAAACTGTCACGCAGAGTCTCTATGGTCTACAAAACTGAAGGAATAAAGTTGATTGATACTTACCCGGATGTATTAGTCAAAAGGAATTCAGCCATAGTTTTGTAGGACGCAGCAACATACGTTATTTTTGCTGCAAGCCAAAATGGATAGTTACATAATAGCAATCGATTTTATGGATGTGAGACAAAATACTGATTTATCTGTTTGCAGTTTTGAATTGTTACGACTGCAAGGCATCCAATCCTTCTCTTTGAAAGGGTGAGTCAAACAAAATTATGACCAACGACACATTTGTTTTCACAACACCCAATGGACAGATTTTGTAAAACCCGGGAGGAAAATATTAATAAAACAGTTAAAAACATTCAATTGCGATAAATCAGCATCGACTATGGTAAAACCGCAATACATTCAGCAGTGCCCATTGGCTCGGATGTCTTACCCGTGTTATTGAAGTTTTCCTTTGAAAGCCTTAAAGAGCTCTTCACTTCCTCCATGCCCTGAGAGGGAAAGGCAATGTCACGTCCTGTAACCTTTGCAATTTCCATCACTGAAACATTTGTTCTCAAATACAAATCATAATAGGGTCCAAACCCTTAAAGTAATGTATCTGAAGCGTTACGAACATAACCCGGGAATATATATGTATCTGTGAGAACTAGAGCCATAATGTTCTGAAAGTTATGTGTACTGGATAAAACTCAACCAGGAGCTCGTTTGAGCAGGATTACACTAGCTTCTATTCCAAGGTTGATGCATCTTCCCGATCCAAGAGAGTTAACTGACTAAGGCCAGTTTCCACCCTTGCCGAACTAGGTTGGAAATTATGGAGTTACATTTTGGCTGGACTATCGAGTGACACGAGAGCTGGAATCTGATTGGTCCATGGGTTCATGATGGGTCAAATGATTGCCTACTTAAACTCAGGATATTAATCACTGCGTCTGGACCAACTTCGCTTACGCTAGGCCAGTTAGCTAAAGTAATTCTTTTCACATAAAACAACCATCAGTGGTAGCGTCGATGTCCAAAACATATTCGTCTTCCTATAGATTAGAGTTGACAAGTGCTTACCCATTGTTGAACTATTGAGCTTTAAAGGTTCGTTTTCTGTCTGTGATTCAGCAGCAGCTAAACCGAAGGCGGTTACCGATCTGGCCAATGAAGCCGCTTTTGTTGAATTCTTGAAAACAACAAGAACATACAGGAATATTATAATCTGAAAGTACAGTAATAGTAACCGCTACATATGCTCAACGGTCTGATTGATATGTAACATAAAACTGACACACAAACCACGGTCAGGGTGTTGTCTTTTTAACATTCTCTCGTAACATGAGTAGAATAGGTCTTCAGCAACGCATGCTTGCCGTAAAAGACGACTATATGCTTGTCGTACGAGGCGACTAACAGGATCGGATGGTCAGGCTCGCTGACATGGTTGATGCATGTCATTGTATCCCAATTGCATGGATCGATGTTCATGATCTCAATCACTGGATTGTCTGGTCCAGACTCGATTATTTACAGACATTTATCTGGAATATTGCTGAGTGCGGCGTTAAACAACGAACCAATAAACTGTTAGATTGATATGCAGTTCGAACTTCGATGTGTCGAATTCCCTGTTCTACCGCACTTATCTTCCAGTCCCTTCGAATTCTCTCTATATTTAGCATCATTTTTACTCGGATCTGTCGAACTGAGTGTGTCGAAGTCCCTGTTCTACCGCACTTATCTTCCAGTCCCTTCGAATTCTCTCTATATTTAGCATCATTTTTACTCGGATCTGTCGAACTGAGTGTGTCGAAGTCCCTGTTGTACCGCACTTATCTTCCAGTCCCTTCGAATTCTCTCTATATTTAGCATCATTTTTACTCGGATCTGTCGAACTGAGTGTGTCGAAGTCCCTGTTGTCTCGAACTCATTTTGGAGTCCAAAGTATCCAAATTAAGCATAACATTCCCCTAATAACTCGAACTGTTCCAAATAAAACATAACGTCCACACCCACAATCAAAACTAGCCTTATTAAAAAGCACACCTTACCTCAAAAGGTGCAAGCTGACTATTTTATACACATCGGCAACAAGTTACTGAAGTGTTTTCACTTGATTGCCGGTGACATGGGCAAATAGAGCAATGAGTCAAATGGATTAAGATTATGATAGTGAATCTATTATTCGAGCTATGACTCATAAGATCACCAGAAGTTATTGGCATAGATGAATAACTTAATTAAAACAATATTACATGATACATGTATTATATTATTTGTTACAATATGGCTATCGCTGTTGAAATGTACAATATAAACAAAACATTACTAGATTACATGTAATAATCTCTCTTAAAATTATGTTAGGTTTTCGAAAATTCACTTTGTTGGTTATATTGAACCCCGGGTACCTTGAACTTTTTTCCAGGTCCCCACGAGTTCGACTGTATAGCTAAAAACTGACACACAACTCCAAATTAAGTGTGAATGGTGGAGTGTGGAATGTCAAATCAAATTTACAATACCGCGCTATTTCCAGAGTCACGGTGTTTTTAGACAAATTTGTCCTTTCGCGAAGTGATTATAAACATACAACCAAAGTATCAAAGGTACACAGCCGATATCCGTCCCCATAAATTTTGCCATAAAATTAGAAGCACCGGTAGATGTGTGCATTTGAAAAGACGATTAGCAGTTTCATGGCAAGGGCGGTATGAACAATACCCACATGACCTTTGCAGGCAGGAAATTAAATTGAGACGTCTTTAGATCAAGTGTTACCTTACGTCTTCAACCCTTAAATATCACTCAGTAAAGACCGTGAATACTCACCTATAATTGAAAGGTTTGTATAGTTAAACACGAACATGTTTTGTTTGTTTTGTTTGTTGTTTAACGCCATACTCAGCCAAAATCCTGCGAAGGTGGCTTGTAAATATTCGAGTAAGAAAATCCAGTAATGAACGAGTCAAACCGTCGGGGTACGATGACACACCGTCTACACAGTCATCGAGTCTGACCACCCCACCCAATAAGTCGCCTCGCACGACCAGCGTAGGTTGCTGGGGACCAATTCGAAACAATAAGGGGTCAAACATCCCACACCTAACACCATAGAGGAAGAAAGATGAAAAATGAACCTGTGATAAGAACACAAGTTGTACTTGCCTTCTTCTGAACCTGTTGCCAATCCTGTTTACTTGTGTCGACAGATAAAATGTTGTCGATTACATTGACAAAGGACTGAAAACAAAATATAAATAACTTTATACCAAATCAGATGACTATTGGTATAGATCTTCTGCAAGTCGATGGTTACATGTGACTATTGCTAGATGTCTGCATCAAGTTTGTAGTTACCATTGTCTATTGATGAAAGAATTCATCAAGTCACTGGTTACCTGTCATTATTGATGTCAGTGGTAACCTGTGACTATAGCTGTAAGTAGCCACCAGATCTAGAGGTGTGATCATCTGTGACTATATAATAGCTGTGAGTAGCCACTACATATGTGATTATCTGTGACTATGGCTGTAAGTAGCCATCAAATATGTGATTATCTGTGACTATAGCTGTTAGTAGCCATCAAATATGTGATTGTCTGTGACTGTAGCTGTGAGCAGCCATCAAATATGTGATTATCTGTGACTGTAGCTGTGAGTAGCCATTAAATATGTGATTATCTGTGACTGTAGCTGAAAGTAGCCATCAAATATGTGATTATCTGTGACTAAAGCTGTAAGTAGCCATCAAATATGTGATTATCTGTGACTAAAGCTGTAAGTAGCCATCAAATATGTGATAATCTGTGACTGTTGGCACAGTTCCCCTGTGTTTCACGATTCACTTTTTGTGCATAAATCGTGCAAATATTTTCGTCTATCTTTTTTTACACTGCAGAATTGTAACATCCGAGTCAAAAGCTGGTTTTAAACGTGCAAGGGGTGAAACGAAGAGTCATTATTTGAACTGTGCATTTTAATGAATAAATAATTCTAAATATTCTTTTCAGGCGTTTGCATTATATGTGAAATAGAAAAAGACATTAAAAACAATCTTTTAAACAGTTTACGTTATGAGAAATGGTTAAATGAAATCAGTATCCTGATTTCGTTTTTAAGTGAAGATGACTTTTGTATTATTGCTTAATGAAAGTACATGTCAGTATTTTAACACTAATGATCGCCAGGTGCGAACAGGTGCACCACTGCGACATTCTGGAAAACTAAGCTTAAAAAGTTGCAGAATAGTGTGCAGACTGATCAAAACTTACACAAATTGACCACAGAAGTTTGATTTTTTTGGCCGCGGAATACAGCGAGGACTGATAAGTACCCATCAAATAAGTTGCCATCAAATCTGTCACTTTCGCTGACTATTGGTATAAGTATCACGTCATTAGTTACCTGACTATGAATACAAGTCGTACGCGAGAACAACAAAGAAGGTTTCAGCTTCATCCGTTCAGTGGCAGTCAAGACAGTATTTACAGACGACGTAGGTCATTGCATAAGCAAACGTTACCTTCAGTAAAGTTGAAAGTAGAATCTTATAAAAACAAGTTATCATACAAAAAGATAATTATCTAATATTTTTAGAAAGCATGTACAATTAAAGGTATCATTTACCCATATGGTCAGTTGGAAAGGTTCCGACAGGTTTTTAAAATAGAAAGTGATAGGTACATTCACTTGGGTTAATGGCGCTTTGAATAGTTATTTTTCAGTTTAATCATTCCCAATGTTTGTGAGAGAAAAGTGATGCATGCCTTAAACGTTTACCACATGGTTGCATACTACGAGCACAGTGTGAAGCTGGCAGACCGTAATCATAGGATCCTGGCATGACCAGGGGAAGCAATAGGAAATATTCCAGCTTCACAGACAATGCTACTTCAAAGGACACAGCCCGAAATGTAGACGACAGACGAACGGATGTTGAACACAACAGAACGTACATAAAACATCGATGAATAAACTGATGAACAATGATCGAATCTTATTCAGAAGGTCATTGTGCTTGCCTTCAAATCAGGCCAGAATTATTATTAATTCACTAATTTCGGCTTCATGCACATGACGTTTGAGATACAATGTAAAACAATCTAGCAGTTTACGAATGACGGACGAGTTTCGGTAACGTGAGGTTAAAGGCTGTATACTCAGGAAGGAACGTGTGGGTTGTCATCCTGTATGGGCGACATCTGATTATTCAGGCTTTAGTGGTCCTTGTGTATCTTGTCCCCAGCGTTATGCGAGGAAGCTAGACGCTGTTTTGGTCACAAATCCACTTACGATCTGCCATACGTTATCCTCAAAATAGAGAATGTTTATTTTTTGTGAGGATAATATTAATTGTACACCTATCTGTCTTCGCCCATGACGTAAAGGCGTCACAAAGCTATCAGCTCTGAATAAGTAAATCATAATTTAAATTACTTACAAGTAACGCGCAAATTTACATGCAAAAAAACATATAGGAGGTGGTGATTCCGTTTAATCGTATGACCGAAATATTGTTGATTGAATATTTCAATGAAATACAACACGATGGTTGCTGCTCGGCTCCGTTTTTTATCAGATTGTATTATATCTTGTACTTATGTTATTGGTGGTAAAAAAAGCACATAAAGATTAGGAGTGGCTGATAGTAAAAAAGAAATTATTAAAACAAAATTCCTTGATTTAATCATAACTTCAGATTCCTGGCCTTGATAGGACCGAAAGAGTGTTCAATGCAGCGTTAAATAAAAGTCACTATCTTGTGAACGTAAAATGTGACGTCTCATGTGTCAAACATAAAAACGGAAACGGGCTTATGTAATCGAATTACATATCGAAACATTACAGACTAACACCTGTAAAACACTGACAACGTATCTCTAGGTTACAAAGAAATCAAGTTCATTGCAGCAACAACTTTGGAAATTGTCAAACCACCTTAACTGACGCTGTGTCTACCGCAACAGAGGAAGCAGACCCGCTCACTGCGGCAACGATGTTGTCAACGATGTCAATTGATTTGTCCAGATCTCCTGCGGAAGAGTCGTTGTTCTCGGTGGCCTTCTGTAGGTTCTCAAGCACATTCTTGACAGCCTCACTGGACACAGTTCCCTCAGTGATTGCAGCCACCTGAATGAAACGTTATACAAATTGGTAATTGAAGTAATATAACAGAAATAACAGTGTTTGATTTCGTTGAAAATCAAAGAAGTGAACGTATAAGGTGTTTTATCAGATTAACGTTCGCTGCTACACTAACCCTTCCTCTATCAGTGATTGAAGCTACCTGAGGATGAAATAACTCAACACTCAACATCTGGAAGAAAGAGTGAGTTATGTTTAACGCCGCTGTTAACAGTATTCCAGTTGTATCACGGCGTGTCAGCTTAATGTGGGAGGAAAGCCCGAAGTGATGCAGGTCTCAGACGTTTACCACTTCGATGAAACCCACGAGCACGGGTATGGTGTTGACAAACCTAGGAACATCGGGGCGAACCGGGATTCGAATCACAATCATAGATTTCGGGCGTGCCCAAAGGACGCAACTCTGCACAGCGAATTGCGGCGCCTTAGACGTCTGGGCCTCCCGTGCCCCTCTTGCAATTGGTGAAAGAATTGGACACCAGAAACGTATCGTGCTTGGTGACATGTTGTCCATGGCTTGTCTGTTACTGTTTGTCTAAGAAGTTGACACATGTTCTGTATTATCAGAAACATACGCTGCTTGGCACCCACGCAATGTTTACCAACCTCTTCCTCTATCTGCGCTATTTCTTCTCTCACGCAGTTTATGTAGTTTGGTTCTCCCCACTCACCAGTGACGTCACAGACACGTTGAACTTTACCTTCAAAATATTATAGCTTTGTAAATGAAGTTGTTCTATTCATAGTGCATATATGATAACGATAAGAAACAAGTTTGTACACAGGATGAAAATATATTCAGCAATATTGGAACCGTAAAACTTCGGACCAGACAAACCAAGGGTGTCCAGGTTCCTACGCCATTTCGGATACGATGACAGGCAGCATATCAAATTATACTGGGGCGGTCCTCGGGTCTTAAGGGTTTTTAAAGACTGTCAATGAGTTAACAATTAGAAAATGATATTTTTTCTTATGAGTCTTCCTGTATATATATACAGCACATCAACTGGTTGTGTGGCGGTCCGAGGGGATCTTTTTAATTGAAAGTTCACCAATTGACTCTGACAATTGCAATAAACAGTGCACACGAACAAACGCACCTAGAAATCCCCCAGGACACGGCAGCACCATCGTCGTATTACTGACAGTCTGGGGCCACACTGTTCCTCTGGTGTCGGTGGTTTCTGTACAAGCTTTGTCTGAAAGTAGTTACATTAAATGTAACGCACCGGCAAGAAATTGTTACCAGAGAACAAACTGAATACATTGAAGATGTGAGAACAGACCATCTCATCATCAGCAGTCATATCTTTAAACATAATATTTAATGATTATATGTCCATTCATACTGCTTTATAACATTCAGCAATGAATGCTCACGGCCCAACCTTATAATCACTCTAATCATTGGATCAGTGTGCTCTGAAATGCCATAATCAGATCCCAGAGGGTACACATCCCAAGCTGCCGTATAAGGCGCCAGAAAGAGTTCACAGTCACATCAAAACCTCTTGCCTAAGGAGATACAAACGTGTAGCCTGTGTTTCAGAGTAGATCATATGGTTCATCGAAGCCCCAGAACATACTATTCTATTATTGGAGTTGGATCACACGGCGCTTTGAACAGTATTTCAGTGTGTATCGCGGCTGTGTTATGCTAAATACCAAGGAACTAATCGGGGCTGTGGGAAGATGCAGCATAAAATACATATAAATGACTAAATGCATAGTATATTAGGTCTTGCAGTTTTAACCCATTCATTTAATAGCCCATGCATGAATGTCTGGTCAGCAAAAAGCTACTTGTGGTCAATACAATAGAAAAACACAGTCAGCAAAGGTACACACAGGCACACATTTATATATAAGGCAATTGTTACAAGCGTGATCAACTGAAATAGAAATTACCTTCAGGTTTGGTGATAACAAGCGTTGCTGTTTCTGTACAGTTGATGACACCACACATGTAGACTCCAGCTCTGTCGAACGAGTTCATCATCTGAATGTCCATCCCATCCCTCACTCTCACGATCTTCGATTGGTCTAAGAAAAAAATAATCACGTTATCTGTTACACCGCCACAATTGTGGCATTTAGAATTAAGTAATACAGTGCACATATGTTCAAATATCGTATACTGTAATCTGGATGTAGTTTGGGATTTTGTTAAGAGACAATATTGTTTTCTGTCAGTGCGTCAAGATGGCACGTTTTTCTCTGAAAGGAGCACCTGTACCACATTCACAAATCCAGTGTACAACTATCTATGCGTCACGCATGGGTCGTACACGGCTATCCTCGCTTTATTTGTTTTGATTCGACACACCCGAAAGTATTTGTCATTGAGAACCAATCACGAGATTTAGTTCACAGTTACGTTTTACTACTGGGTCATACTACTCAAGAAAAATGATGTTTCGATGTTGTCAAAAAAATAATTTATTCCAGTAAAGAAACTATGTTGTTCTCAGGTTTTCCTCCCAAAAAAAATTGTTCGCTGGCTATGATTGATCAGGGAAAACAAATTATATTGAACGGCTCCTCCTTTCACAAAATACTATTGTGTGTTTTAAGCAGATCAAAGCATATCAGTGTGTATTATTATAATTGTCTCGTATAAAGTGGATATAGGTACACCGTGGGTCACATGTTGTATCTAAGGAATATGTACCCTCTCTATTCGACTCTAACAACTCCTACGACGTGGACGTTCTTATCCATGCAATATTCATAAGCTGCTATTCACATGCCAATTAACGCAAAACATATGCACATATGAAACACTAACCTGTGACAACTTGATCTGCCTGGCACCAGACCAGACTCCCCGGGACCGTCTTCACAGCAGGTGCGTTGTTAACCTGGCAGGTAAAGTTCCCCTGATCACCTTCCTGTAGGGACAAAGTAGACGGTGACAGCGTCACAGTCGGGACTTCATACACCAGGAGAGATACAGCTATGGCCTTAGAAGACTGCCCTGCCGTTGCCTTGCAGGAGTAATTGCCTGAAAATAATTAAAAGCAAAATGTTTGTTTGATGATGAAGATGGGGCGTTTCTAATCAGGAGTCAGAAGACTTGGACGACAACGTGCTGAAATCTTTGTCATACCCTGTTCCTTGAAAAGAATGTTCTCAACTCTCTCATGAGAGATGCCTACTGTATTAGCTATGAGAGGCATAGTGAGTCGTCGATCATCATTAATCATATCATGTCTTCAAGGTCGTCCTGATTTTAGATCATCTTCAAGGCTCTCTCTTTCCATTTTGAACCCCGCTGCCAACCTCTTAACAATGACAAGGGAAGAAACATCATCCTTAAAGTTTAGAACGTTTAGGCTACCCCTCGCATCCAAATTTCATTGATCGATGCTCATAATGCCAATCACTAGTTTAGACTCGATTATTCACAGATTTCCGTAATGGAGCTGGAATATTGCTCAGTCCGGTGTTAAACAACAAACAAAGTAAACACTAACTACATGAATACCTATATCGAAAGAATGCAGGTGGAGGTTTGAGTGAACAATTCATGAAAACATTTTATGCCAAAAGGGCTATTGAGGAAGTAATCAAACAATCAATCGGATTTCTAATACCTTATTTAGATGTACAGGCTCTTTAATTCAACATCACACTGTTTCTTACCTCTATCACGGCGCAAGACAGGAGTAAATTGGAACTGGGCATAGAACAATCCAGGGTTCCTGCGCTGACGTCCAGTTTCATAGGAAATTCGGTCAGACTTTGACATCTCAGTTCCTTTTCTCAAGCAAGAGACAGATAGGTTTGCAAAAGTGTTACTTCTGAAATCACAATGGACTGCTACCGTTGTTTTGCCATGGATATACGTCCCATCCGTCTGATTACACTGTCCCTCTACAATCACTGAAACGAAACAAGTTAACACGTCTTGGTTTTAAACATTCACTAATAGTGACTTGAAGCCCATTTCTTAATGTCCGCCGACGTTATAAAGCTGGGGTATTGCGGCGTACAAGACGACTCACTCAACAAGTGACGTTTGTGTGTGTCCGGCAACATTTCTATGATATGTCTTATTCTCCACCGAGATCATACCACATACTTCAAGCCAAAGTAAGATCGACTTTAAGTAGGAAACATATACATGTCATAGATACGAAATTGGACATTGATTACACTGCATAGATTTTTCTGACAGGAATAAACAAGTTTCGGCTGGTACAGATGTGTGAGAGTGCGTGGTAATAGTATGTCCATTGATACTGCGTTATTCCATTCAGCAAGGGAATGCCCATGACGCTACACTATTATAATCCTGGTCATTGGATCAGTGTGCACTGAAATGTCATTATCAGCTCCCTTGGGAGCATACAACCCAAGCTGCCTCATAAGGCGCCAGAAGGTTCACAGTCACATTACCATCACTTCTGACCGGGTACAAAACATCTTGCCTGTGTGAGTGAGTGAATTGAGTTTAACACGGCTTTTAACAGTATTCTAGTTATATCACGGCGTGTCAGCTTGGTGTGGGAGGAAAGCCAGAAGTGATGCTGGTCTCAGACGTTTACCCCTTCAGTGAAACCCACGAGCACGGGTATTGATGCTGACAAACCTAGAAACATAATCGTTGCGAATCGGGATTCGAACCCACAATCATAGGTTTATGGCGTGTCCAAGGGGCACAACTCTGCACAGCGAATTGCGGCGTCTTAACCGACTGGGCCACCCGTGCAACAAAATCATGACTGAAGATATACCACATGTAACCTGTGTTTTAGTTAAGGTGTTATGTAGGTGAAGGTTTCACTGAAGCCAAGCAAAAAATAGAATTCACATAACTTGTAAATTAGTGAGTTGCATCATACGACGCTTTAAACAGTATTTCAGTGTGTACAGCGACAGTGTCATGTTATCAAGTAGACTAATCGGGGCTGTCAGCGAACGCAACGGTAATACACATAAATACCTAAAGGCAGTTTCCACCCATGAATTAATTAAACTGACCATATTTGAATGCTTGGTCACCATTTTTGCAAAAGCAACCTATGGTCAACACAAGCAAAGTACAACATTTGCCGAGAGTACATAAAACGTTACACATGAATAAACAACATATAAGGCAATTGTTACAAGCGTGATCATCTGAAATAGAAATTACCTTCAGGTTTGGTGATAACAAGCTTTGCTGTTTTTGTACAGTTGATGACACCACACTTGTAGACTCCAGCTCTGTCGGACGAGTTCATCATCAGAATCTCCATCCCATCCCTCACTCTCACGATCTTCGATTGGTCTAAGAGCAAAGAAATCACGTTATCTGTTACCCCCGCCACAATTTTGGTATTTAGAGTCAAGTAATACAGTGCACATATGTGCAAATATCGTATACTGTAATCTGGATATAGTTTGGGATTTTGTTAAGAGACAATATTGTTTTCTGTCAGTGCTCTGAAAGGAGCACCTGTACCACATTCACAAATCCAGTGTACAACTATCCATGCGTCACGCATGGGTCGTACACGGCTATCCTCGCTTTATCTGTTTTGATTCGACACACCCGAAAGTATTTGTCATTGAGAACCAATCACGAGATTTAGTACACAGTTACGTTTTACTACTGGGTCATACTAATGAAGAAAAATGATGTTTCGATGTTGTCAAAAAACTAATTTATTCCAGTAAAGAAACTATGTTGTTCTCAGGTTTTCCTCCCAAACAAATTGTTCGCTGGCCATGATTGATCAGGGAAAAACAAATTATATTGAACGGCTCCTCCTTTCACAAAATACTATCGTGTGTTTTAAGCAGATCAAAGCATATCAGTGTGTATTATTATAATTGTCTCGTATAAAGTGATATAGGTACACCGTGGGTCACATGTTGTATCTAAGGAATATGTACCCTCTCTATTCGACTCTAACAACTCCTACGGCGTGGACGTTCTTATCCATGCAATATTCATAAGCTGCTATTCACATGCCAATTAACGCAAAACATATGCACATATGAAACACTAACCTGTGATGACTACATCTGCCTGGCACCAGACCAGACTCCCCGGGACCGTCTTCACAGCAGGTGCGTTGTTAACCTGGCAGGTAAAGTTCCTCTGATCACCTTCCTGCAGGGACAAAGTAGACGGTGACAGCGTCACAGCCGGGACTTTATACACCAGGAGAGATACAGATATGGCCTTTGAAGACTGCCCTGTCGTTGCCTTGCAGGAGTAATTGCCTGAAAATAATTAAAAGCAAACTGTTTGTTTGTCGAGATACATGTTGTTGAGTATATCGATGTATGACCTTTCAAACAGCTCTAAACAGCACCATGTAAGTGGCATTTCCATAAACGAGCGTGTTCCATCTGGATGACAGGTTATCTCCCTTTGTCTTATGTTTAACATCAAACTTATATGACACTAGTTTGCGAGGTAAGGCCAAATGGGGTGCAATGTTGAGTTCAAGATTATTGCATTTATATTGCCCATTTTAACCCCCATGAGATACCATGCCGAAATTTTGACGTGAATACCGCACTCAGACAGAGTATACTGAGTCCCATCCGACCAGTACTTGTTTATATCCCCTTAATGTCGATACCCTTGATGAGCGTCAGGAAGGGTAACAAGGATCATATTATAACGTCTGTTGATCTGACGCAGCCGAAGATCGACACTCCAACCTTCCGTTCTAGGGGTAGACGCTCCATCAACTAGACCATGTAGACGTCAATATGACACTTAGTTATAAACCGGTGGAAATTCCTAGAAAGAACTCCATCAAGCGGTTCTTATGGTAAGAAGCGACTGAATGGATCAGTCATCAGTCTCGGTGATTGGTTGATTGCATGTCATCTTACTTGGGGTACCTGAAAAGATCTGAGCCTAACTAGGATAGAATGCGTTGATGGGGTTGGTTACTATTTATTAACACATAATCCCATCTGAGATCCACAAACTTCAGCAAATGATGCTGAAGTGCCCGGATCCCATTGATGTAGAAGGCTTCTTCGTGGCGGTAAAAAAACCTTCTCCACTGCAGAAATAGTGTCATCATCATTTGCATAATGCTTTTAGACAGTTCTATCTGATAGCTGGGAAGAGGTAGAAATCTGACGGTGCCAAATTTGGTGATTACAGAGGATGATGAAGTTCAAAGCCACAATCATGTGCATTGTCCTCTGGGGAACTACACAACTTGATTGAATTTGTCAGGGTGTTTAGCCTTGGTATTCTCACGCAGTTGCATAAGCTGATCAGCATTACATTGGACATTAATGGTCTGACTTTTCTGCAGGTACTCCATCAGGGTTTGTAGGATCACTATGCCAGCTAACGGAACAAACTTTGTTTTTCCCTGCTTTGATTGTTGTTGACTGTTGACTGTCTGGCCGATAGTGGTGAACCAAAGGCTCATAATTACAAATCGAACAACAAAAGCAGCTGGGCCTGTATCAAAACGACGTAGATTTACACGAGGGATGATGAAGATGGGGCGTTTCTAATCAGGAGTCAGAAGACTTGGACGACAACGTGCTGAAATCTTTGTCATACCCTGTTCCTTGAAAACAATGTTCTCAACTTTCTCATGAGAGATGCCTACTGTATTAGCTATGAGAGGCATAGTGAGTCGTCGATCATCATTAATCATATCATGTCTTCAAGGTCGTCCTGATTTTAGATCATCTTCAAGGCTCTCTCTTTCCATTTTGAACCCCGCTGCCAACCTCTTAACAATGACAAGGGAAGAAACATCATCCTTAAAGTTTAGAACGTTTAGGCTACCCCTCGCATCCAAATTTCATTGATCGATGCTCATAATGCCAATCACCTGTTTAGACTCGATTATTCACAGATTTCCGTAATGGAGCTGGAATATTGCTCAGTCCGGTGTAAAACAACAAACAAAGTAAACAATAACTACATGAATACCTATATCGAAAGAATGCAGGTGGAGGTTTGAGTGAACAATTCATGAAAACATTTTATGCCAAAAGGGCTATTGAGGAAATAATCAAACAATCAATCGGATTTCTAATACCTTATTTAGATGTACAGGCTCTTTAATTCAACATCACACTGTTTCTTACCTCTATCACGGCGCAAGACGGGAGTAAATTGGAACTGGGCATAGAACAATCCAGGGTTCCTGCGCTGACGTCCAGTTTCATAGGAAATTCGGTTAGACTTTGACATCTCAGTTCCTTTTCTCAAGCAAGAGACAGATAGGTTTGCAAAAGTGTTACTTCTGAAATCACAATGGACTGCTACCGTTGTTTTGCCATGGAGATACGTCCCATCCGTCTGATTACACTGTCCCTCTACAATCACTGAAACGAAACAAGTTAACACGTCTTGGTTTTAAACATTCACTAATAGTGACTTGAAGCCCATTTCTTAATGTCCGCCGACGTTATAAAGCTGGGGTATTGCGGCGTACAAGACGACTCACTCAACAAGTGACGTTTGTGTGTGTCCGGCAACATTTCTATGATATGTCTTATTCTCCACCGAGATCATACCACATACTTCAAGCCAAAGTAAGATCGACTTTAAGTAGGAAACATATACATGTCATAGATACGAAATTGGACATTGATTACACTGCATAGATTTTTCTGACATGAACAAACAAGTTTCGGCTGGTACAGATGTGTGAGAGTACGTGGTAATAGTATGTCAATTGATACTGCGTTGTTCCATTCAGCAAGGGAATGCCCATGACGCTACACTATTATAATCCTGGTCATTGGATCAGTGTGCACTGAAATGTCATTATCAGCTCCCTTGGGAGCATACAACCCAAGCTGCCTCATAAGGCGCCAGAGGGTTCACAGTCACATTACCATCACTTCTGACCGGGTACAAAACATCTTGCCTGTGTGAGTGAGTGAATTGGGTTTAACACGGCTTTTAACAGTATTCCAGTTATATCACGGCGTGTCAGCTTGGTGTGGGAGGAAAGCCAGAAGTGGTGCAGGTCTCAGACGTTTACCCCTTCAGTGAAACCCACGAGCACGGGTATGGTGCTGACAAACCTAGAAACATAATCGTTGCGAATCGGGATTCGAACCCACAATCATAGGTTTCTGGCGTGTCCAAGGGGCACAACTCTGCACAGCGAATTGCGGCGTCTTAACCGACTGGGCCACCCGTGCAACAAAATCATGACTGAAGATATACCACATGTAACCTGTGTTTTAGTTTGGGTGTTATGTAGGTGAAGGTTTCACTGAAGCCAAGCAAAATAGAATTCACATAACTTGTAAAATACTGAGTTGCATCATACGACGCTTTAAACAGTATTTCAGTGTGTATAGCGACAGTGTCATGTTATCAAGTAGACTAATCGGGGCTGTCAGCGAACGCAACGTTAATACACATAAATACCTAAAGGCAGTTTCCACCCATGAATTAATTAAACTGACCATATTTGAATGCTTGGTCACCATTTTTGCATAAGCAACCTATGGTCAACACAAGCAAAGTACAACATTTGCTGAGAGTACATAAAACGTTACACATGAATAAACAACATATAAGGCAATTGTTACAAGCGTGATCATCTGAAATAGAAATTACCTTCAGGTTTGGTGATAACAAGCTTTGCTGTTTTTGTACAGTTGGTGACACCACACTTGTAGACTCCAGCTCTGTCGGACGAGTTCATCATCAGAATCTCCATCCCATCCCTCACTCTCACGATCTTCGATTGGTCTAAGAGCAAAGAAATCATGTTATCTGTTACCCCTGCCACAATTTTGGTATTTAGAGTCAAGTAATACAGTGCACATATGTGCAAATATCGTATACTGTAATCTGGATATAGTTTGGGATTTTGTTAAGAGACAATATTGTTTTCTGTCAGTGCTCTGAAAGGAGCACCTGTACAACATTCACAAATCCAGTGTACAACTATCCATGCGTCACGCATGGGTCGTACACGGCTATCCTCGCTTTATCTGTTTTGATTCGACACACCCGAAAGTATTTGTCATTGAGAACCAATCACGAGATTTAGTACACAGTTACGTTTTACTATTGGGTCATACTAATGAAGAAAAATGATGTTTCGATGCTGTCAAAAAACTAATTTATTCCAGTAAAGAAACTATGTTGTTCTCAGGTTTTCCTCCCAAACAAATTGTTCGCTGGCCATGATTGATCAGGGAAAAACAAATTATATTGAACGGCTCCTCCTTTCACAAAATACTATTGTGTGTTTTAAGCAGATCAAAGCATATCAGTGTGTATTATTATAATTGTCTCGTATAAAGTGATATAGGTACACCGTGGGTCACATGTTGTATCTAAGGAATATGTATCCTCTCTATTCGACTCTAACAACTCCTACGGCGTGGACGTTCTTATCCATGCAATATTCATAAGCTGCTATTCACATGCCAATTAACGCAAAACATATGCACATATGAAACACTAACCTGTGATGACTACATCTGCCTGGCACCAGACCAGACTCCCCGGGACCGTCTTCACAGCAGGTGCGTTGTTAACCTGGCAGGTAAAGTTCCTCTGATCACCTTCCTGCAGGGACAAAGTAGACGGTGACAGCGTCACAGCCGGGACTTTATACACCAGGAGAGATACAGATATGGCCTTTGAAGACTGCCCTGTCGTTGCCTTGCAGGAGTAATTGCCTGAAAATAATTAAAAGCAAACTGTTTGTTTGTCGAGATACATGTTGTTGAGTATATCGATGTATGACCTTTCAAACAGCTCTAAACAGCACCATGTAAGTGGCATTTCCATAAACGAGCGTGTTCCATCTGGATGACAGGTTATCTCCCTTTGTCTTATGTTTAACATCAAACTTATATGACACTAGTTTGCGAGGTAAGGCCAAATGGGGTGCAATGTTGAGTTCAAGATTATTGCATTTATATTGCCCATTTTAACCCCCATGAGATACCATGCCGAAATTTTGACGTGAATACCGCACTCAGACAGAGTATACTGAGTCCCAGCCGACCAGTACTTGTTTATATCCCCTTAATGTCGATACCCTTGATGAGCGTCAGGAAGGGTAACAAGGATCATATTATAACGTCTGTTGATCTGACGCAGCCGAAGATCGACACTCCAACCTTCCGTTCTAGGGGTAGACGCTCCATCAACTAGACCATGTAGACGTCAATATGACACTTAGTTATAAACCGGTGGAAATTCCTAGAAAGAACTCCATCAAGCGGTTCTTATGGTAAGAGGCGACTGAATGGATCAGTCATCAGTCTCGGTGATTGGTTGATTGCATGTCATCTTACTTGGGGTACCTGAAAAGATCTGAGCCTAACTAGGATAGAATGCGTTGATGGGGTTGGTTACTATTTATTAACACATAATCCCATCTGAGATCCACAAACTTCAGCAAATGATGCTGAAGTGCCCGGATCCCATTGATGTAGAAGGCTTCTTCGTGGCGGTAAAAAAACCTTCTCCACTGCAGAAATAGTGTCATCATCATTTGCATAATGCTTTTAGACAGTTCTATCTGAAAGCTTGGGAAGAGGTAGAAATCTGACGGTGCCAAATTTGGTGATTACAGAGGATGATGTATAAGTTCAAAGCCACAATCATGTGCATTGTCCTCTGGGGAACTACACAACTTGATTGAATTTGTCAGGGTGTTTAGCCTTGGTATTCTCACGCAGTTGCATAAGCTGATCAGCATTACATTGGACATTAATGGTCTGACTTTTCTGCAGGTACTCCATCAGGGTTTGTAGGATCACTATGCCAGCTAACGGAACAAACTTTGTTTTTCCCTGCTTGTCTGGCCGATAGTGGTGAACCAAAGACTCATAATTACAAATCGAACAACAAAAGCAGCTGGGCCTGTATCAAAACGACGTAGATTTACACGAAGGATGATGAAGATGGGGCGTTTCTAATCAGGAGTCAGAATACTTGGACGACAACGTGCTGAAATCTTTGTCATACCCTGTTCCTTGAAAAGAATGTTCTCAACTCTCTCATGAGAGATGCCTACTGTATTAGCTATGAGAGGCATAGTGAGTCGTCGATCATCATTAATCATATCATGTCTTCAAGGTCGTCCTGATTTTAGATCATCTTCAAGGCTCTCTCTTTCCATTTTGAACCCCGCTGCCAACCTCTTAACAATGACAAGGGAAAAAACATCATCCTTAAAGTTTAGAACGTTTAGGCTACCCCTCGCATCCAAATTTCATTGATCGATGCTCATAATGCCAATCACTAGTTTAGACTCGATTATTCACAGACTTTCGTAATGGAGCTGGAATATTGCTCAGTCCGGTGTTAAATAACAAACAAATTAAACAATAACTACATGAATACCTATATCGAAAGAATGCAGGTGGAGGTTTGAGTGAACAATTCATGAAAACATTTTATGCCACAAGAGCAACTGTTGAATTGTTAGTGGCGAGATGGAGCGATTGAGGAAAAATTCAAACAATCAATCAGATTTTTAATACGTAATTTAGATGTACAGGCTGTTTAATTCAACATCACACTGTTTCTTACCTCTATCACGGCGCAAGACAGGAGTAAATTGGAACTTGACAGAGAACAATGCAGGGTTCCTGCGCTGACGTCCAGTTTCATAGGAAATTCGGTCAGACTTAGACATCTCAGTTCCTTTTCTCGAGCAAGAGACAGAGAGGTTTGCAAAAGTGTTACTTCTGAAATCACAATGGACTGCTACCGTTGTTTTGGCATGGATATATGTCCCATCCGTCTGATTACACTGTCCCTCTACAATCACTGAAACGAAACAAGTCAACACGTTTTGGTTTTAAACATTCACTAATAGTGACTTGAAGCCCATTTCTTAATGTCGGTCGGCGTTCTAAAGCTGGCGTACAAGACGACTCACTCCATTGGTGACTTTTGTGTTTGTCCGGAAACATTTCTATGATATGTTTTGTTCTCCACCGAGATCATACCACATACTTCAAGCCACAAGTAAGATCGACTTTAAGTGGGAAACAGATACATGGTATAGATACCAAATTGGACATTAATTACACTGCATATCGTTTTCTGACATCACAAAGACGGTGTTTGGCTGGTAGAGATGTATCAGAGTGGAATGACAAATGTGAAATACAGAAACTGTGTGTTTGTGAATTAGAGACCACTGTACGTGTGAATTACAGAAACTGTACGTGTGAATAACAGAAACTGTACATGTGAATTAGACCACTGAATGCGTGAATTACAGACCATAGTAGTGTGAATTACAGACCACTGTTCGTGTGAATTACAGAAACTGTACGTGTGAATAACAGAAACTGTACATGTGAATTACAGAAACTGTACATGTGAATTACAGAAACTACATGTGAATTACAGAAACTGTACGATTGAATTCAGACCTCTGTACGTTTGAATTACAGACCAGTGTACGTGTGAATTACAGAAACTGTACTGTGAATTACAGAAACTGTACGTGTGAATTAGGCCACTGAATGCGTGAATTACAGACCATAGTAGTGTGAATTACAGACCTCTGTTCGTGTGAATTACAGACCACTGTTCGTGTGAATTACAGAAACTGTACGTGTGAATTACAGAAACTGTACATGTGAATTAGACCACTGAATGCGTGAATTACAGACCATAGTAGTGTGAATTACAGACCTCTGTTCGTGTGAATTACAGACCACTGTTCGTGTGAATAACAGAAACTGTACGTGTGAATTACAGAAACTGTACATGTGAATTAGACCACTGAATGCGTGAATTACAGACCATAGTAGTGTGAATTACAGACCTCTGTTCGTGTGAATTACAGACCACTGTTCGTGTGAATTACAGAAACTGTACGTGTGAATTACAGAAACTGTACATGTGAATTACAGAAACTGTACATGTGAATTACAGAAACTACATGTGAATTACAGAAACTGTACGATTGAATTCAGACCTCTGTACGTTTGAATTACAGACCAGTGTACGTGTGAATTACAGAAACTGTACTGTGAATTACAGAAACTGTACGTGTGAATTAGGCCACTGAATGCGTGAATTACAGACCATAGTAGTGTGAATTACAGACCTCTGTTCGTGTGAATTACAGACCACTGTTCGTGTGAATAACAGAAACTGTACGTGTGAATTACAGAAACTGTACATGTGAATTAGACCACTGAATGCGTGAATTACAGACCATAGTAGTGTGAATTACAGACCTCTGTTCGTGTGAATTACAGACCACTGTTCGTGTGAATTACAGAAACTGTACGTGTGAATTACAGAAACTGTACATGTGAATTACAGAAACTGTACATGTGAATTACAGAAACTGTACGATTGAATTCAGACCTCTGTACGTTTGAATTACAGACCAGTGTACGTGTGTACATTTGATGAAGCAAATACCTTGTCACAGATTTTGACTCTATGATTATCACATTATTATTGGGGAGTGAACTGAGGTAAATACTGCCCAGTATCTATAACACCGCGACTAGACCAAGAACACCCCCGAAAGCTTATTCACGAAAAACAACCGTACATAAGTTTTGAAATATCAATCTTTGACCTATGTTATTACCAGAGGGTTGGTCCACTGTACTAGATGCAGTTGATGGAGTCGCAGTTGCTGTAGATGTACTAGATGCAGTTGATGGAGTCGCAGTTGCTGTAGATGTACTAGATGCAGTTGGAGTTTCTGTACTTGAATCTGACAAAAAGACAGAATACACAATTAGCATCCCTGTTCCAAGGAAACAAGAGATATGTGATGTATTAAAGTGACTCGTTTAAGATACAAGGTTAATGGTCATGTTACTGGTTGATGACTTTGAATTGCAGGTTACTATACGAGCAGATGAAGAGGATGTAGTCCCGGTATTTGCAGCTGAAGCTATTACATGGCTTACTACCTACTTGTGTAATGTATTGTTAACAAACTAACAAACTAATTTAAGGGAGCGAGTGAGTGAGTGAGTGAGTGAGTGAGTTAGTGAGGGAGTGAGGGAGTGAGTGAGTGAGTGAGTGAGTGAGTGAGTGAGTGAGGGAGGGAGGGAGCGACCGACCGACTTACCGGATCCGGTGATCAGGTTCGGTGACTTGGATGAATCTATGTCGACGTTGCCCGACCCCTGATCAACCAACCAGTCACCTGAAACTGTTATCCGACAAGTAGTGTAGATATTGTGGATGTACTCTCTGTGTTTTGAGTTATTTGGAGTTTGTTTCCTTTCTTATTACATACTTTTACACGTTTTGTGAATCAAAAACCTTGTCACGGATTATGACACTAAGGTTATTATTATGTCACAAATCACTAAAACCAACTCTAAAGCAAGTGTCGGTGTTATGTTATTACCAGAGAGTTGGTCCACTGAACTAGAAGCAGTTGACGGAGTCGCAGTTGCTGTAGATGTAGAGGGAGGTGCTTCTTTTGCAGTACTTGCAACTGGCACAGAAAGAATACGCACTTAACACACTTTCTCTTTGGAAATAAGAGATCTAGCATGTATACCAATCATTCGCTCAAGATAAAAAGATTATTTGCCATGTTAATGGTTCATGAACAACAGACAAAAATTAGAACACTGTACGCGTGAATTACAGACCACTGTAGTGTGAATTACAGACCACTGTACGTGTGAAGTGCAGACCACTGTACGCGTGAATTTCAGAAGCTGTACGTGCAATCTCGCTTAAAATCAGATCTTAATTCTCGCTACCGCTAAACAAAGATCTAAGGACATCCCATCACTGGTCACGTCAGAACGACCTTGCGCGAACTTTGACCGACCAATGAAATGACCAATCAGAAGGCAGCTTTCTCGTGCTTTACGGCACTAATTTCAAATTGGCGACTACGCTTCGAAACATATTTTGACAAATTCTCGATTATAAATTTGAAACCTGAACAAAAGAACATTCTGGAATGGCTAATAGATGGTCTAGAGTGTATGGATTCAGTCGTTAAACCCGTAACTATCGTTCGGAATACCACCTGTTAAAGTTTTCGAGGTTAGATGATTAGAAATCACATTCCGACAGTCACTTTCATAATCTGGTAAGCGACGCTCTGATTGGTCTGATGAAAGGTCCTTCTGACGTGATCCCTAATGGGATGTCCTCAGATCTTTGTTTTGCGGTAGCGAGAACTGAGGTCTGATTTTAATGAGATTGCTGTACGTGTGAATTATAGAACACAGTACACGTGAATGATAAAACCCTGTAATTATGTGGCCTTGTGTGTGCGCCGTTGACTTGGAGACAGCCCAGATTCGCCTTCATGGATATAAATGTGATACAAAATCCGTTAATTCATAGTGACAAACATTGCATTCAGTGGGAATTGAGAAACATACAGACAGAGAACGATGACGAATCAATTGTTCCTCAGCTTTCATCACTACATGGGTATTGGCTGTGTTTTTAAAAGAGATCTAATAATAATAATAATAATAATAATAATCGTCCAGTTATAAGCATGTTCTAAGCGTTACCCCGGTCAATGGATCAGTGTACATTCAACAATCATTTTCAGCTCCCTATGGAGTATACAACACAAGTCGCCCGAAGGTCAACAACCACATTGCCATCCCATCCTACCGGGTACCCATTCACTGCTGGGTGAACAGAGGCACAATTCGAACAAAGTTACTTCTCCAAGGAGACGCCACATGTGTTATCTGTGCTTCAAAGTCAGAATCAGCATTAGAAACTATCAGGAGCCAAGCCATGACCCGGTACCCCATCCAAGGACTCTACGCGACCGACGCTGCTTCACTTCGCCTTATTTCTGACCTGTGCGCTGTACATGGGACCACGTGCCACCACAGATGTGAATGTTGTTGTCTCAATCGCATCGGTTTAAGGGTGATCTCAACGCTAAGTCAAGGTTGGCATTATGCGCAACGTCCCAGCAAGTCACCGAGCCTGACAACCCATATAACAAAGACGCCTCTTACGACAAGCATCGGTTGATGGGAGCCATTGGTACCTACCGTCGCAGTTCAACTCATCACTCCCGTCCCCGCAGTCATCAAAACCATCGCACACCTCATCGGCAGGAACAAGACGCGAATTCTGGCACCCAAACATACACGTGCCTAGAAATATATTTAATGGGTTCACAAGTGAGTAACAATAATTATTACACATATAGATACGCCAACAGACGGCACTCTATTTCCTCAATCGATATTTCGAAAGCAAACATAAGTGGCATATCAAAGAAGTATGTTCGTCGATGTTTGTTCGTTACTAAACGTTTTCACTGTGTAATACTGCCTAAAAGAAAATTCAAATATTACAAGTAACATGTGTCAAAAGCAGTTTATAAAATGTTTTTAGATAAATAATATCTTTTGCTTGTTGTTAAACGCCACACTCAGCAATATCCCAGCTATATGAGGGCGGTCTGTAAATAATCGAGTCTGGACCAGGCAATCCAGTGATTGATATCATGAGCATCGATCCACGCAATTGTGATACGATGACATGCATCAACCAAGACAGCGAGCCTGACCACCCGACCCCGTTAGTCGCATCGACACTCGTGTACCACCAGACTGAAAGCAACGAATGTTGTGACGTCACGACTGACCCTGCTCAAGATCTGAGTTACCATAATTATAAGTCGCTCACAAGATCAATCGTATGTCTATAAACAAGTCTATGCACGGATCATAAGTATCATGGGCTCGAACTTGATACGCTGCGCGCTCGTTGTTCTTGTTTGAAACTGTCAAGGTACCTATCCAGTATTTGTTTTTCATCTACCCTGATGGAACATGGAAATTTGCCCAAAACGTTAAAGTTAACCTTCAGGTATACCCATGATTTAATATCGTTCAAATAGTGTCAGGTAGTTCCCTTATCTCTTTCATATTTAGGGCCATGGGGTAGCCTAGTGGTTAAAGCGTTCGATCGTCACGCCGAAGACCCGGGTTCGATTCCCGACATGAGTACAATGTGTGAAGCCCATTTCTGGTGTCCCCCGCCGTGTTCTTGCTGGAATATTGCTAAAAGCGGCGTAAAATCAAACTCACACTCACTCACTTTCATATTCAGATCTTTGCATAAAGACTGAAGCTAAAGTATCCATAATGCTGTATGACAAGTATTCCAGGAGCTGCAGCCTTACATTTCACAACTTTTGAAGTACAATCGAGCGTGCTCTTTCTGCGAACATTCCCAAGAGCGCCATGCGAAAACATTAGTAAGGCTTTTAAAATGGTCTATGGTAGACAAGTAGAGGACATTCCCAAATTTGACGCATCGCTGACCAAAAGGATATCCGATTTAATTCCCTATTTGTTCTTGTACCATGTTACCCCGTTTGTTCTGAACTTTGCTTGCCTTCGCATGTGTTTGTGACTTGTGCCACCGGTGGGGCACGATACGCTCACCTTTTCGTGAACACTGATATCATCACTAGCTTATATTGATTCACAAAAAGATGCTTATGATTTGATCGGAATCGTATAACGTATGAGGAGGTGTGTGTCGCTTTTACTTATCCTTCATTTATGACATCAGTCACTTTCTCATTACATTGGAGAATAGTTTAAAGCATATATAGAGTTTCCGTGCAATATGAGCTACCAGGAACAATCACTATCACCAGTTTGTATTGGTTGAATGACAGAACTCGTCATAAAGTCTTTGATCAAACTGAAAGCTCTTTGGTAGAGCCAGGAAAAAAGGGATATTTTTCAAATACATAACCAAATATAATTCGTAATACGATTATGATTTAATCATTGTGCTCTCAACCACATTACTGAGTAGTACGTCTTGCTCGTTCCATAACAGTCTATTATATAGTCAACTGGCGTCTTGTTATGGAATTGTCAAATATCAAAGTCTTAAAAGGAGGTCCCAGTATATGTTCGTAATCTGTCGTAATTGACACACAAGGGTTTTCTGAACAAATTGCTTTTGTTCGCGACGTCAAAAATACTTGCAACACAGGAACAGGTTTGTTGTGTACAGTAAGTGACAGCTTCTCTCGTGTATATGTCTCTCCATACTGTTTAACATACTTACCACAGATAAGCTCATCACTCCCATCACCACAGTCATCTTTTCCATTGCACGCGAACATCGCTCGAATACAGTTTGAGTTCTGACATTTGAACATGTTCGTGTCACATCCAGCTGGAACAATCACATGTATACAGTGAGTGAGTGAGTGAGTGAGTTGGGTTTAACGCCGCTTTTAACAGTATTCCAGTTATATCGCGACGTGTCAGTTTAATGTGGGAGGAAAGCCCGAAGTGATGCAGGTCTCAGAATACTGGGCCACCCGTGCCCCCCCCCCCCCCCCCCCCCCCCCCCCCACACACACACACACACACACATGTATACAGGACTTAAATCTTATTCCATGGGAGAATGTAAAATTGTTACAAGAGCCCACAGTGAAAATACTACAGTAAACTACTTTTTTAACGAACACGCTTGTAACGAACTGACGGATGTAACGAACTGTTTTTTTGGTCCTGACTATTTGCTGTATATATGCTGTACACGTGCTTATAACGAACTGTGGTTATAACGAACTAGAATTAAAGCTACCTTTGCGTTCGTTATAACCGTAATTTCCAAATTCAAGGATAGTATGGCGTGAAGACCCAGGTTAGTTTTTTTCAACAACCCATGCTTATAATAAGAGGCGACTACCGGGATCGGGTGGTCAGGCCCGCTGACTTGGTTGATGCATGTCATTTGGGTGGATCGATGCAATCGCTGGATTTCTGGTCAAAACTCGATTAGTTACAGACCGCCGTCATTGTTTGAGTATTACTGAGTGTCGCGTTAAACAACAAACAAACACACAAACAAATAGTTCAGCCATATGAAGACAAGAACAAGTTATGGATTCATAAATAAGAAAATATCCAGCAATATTACAGATATATGGCAGTGCTATTATGAACAGACCCGTGACAATCCGGGGTAGAATAGGTCTTCAGCAACCCATGCTTGCCCTGAAAGGCGACCAAAAGGCGACTCGATGACTTGGTTGATGCATGTCATCGTATCTCATCTGCGTGGATTGATGCTCATGATGCCAATCACTGGATTGTCTGCTCCAGATCCGATTATTTACAGACCGCCGTCATATAGCTGGAATATTGCTGAGTGCGGCGTTAAACGACAAACAAACAAAAACCATTATTATGAGCAACATCCCATGCGGACAAGATGCACTGACACGCTGTCATACATACAGAAATATCTGACCACCTGATCCAGTAAGGCACCTCTTTCAAACATCCGCTGCTGGGGACAAAACCTAACTGTTGGACGGCGGTGTTAAACATCTTCTCACTCATTCATGTGTATTTACTTGAATACCTACCACAGTTCTTCTCATCACCCTGGTCATCACAGTCAGGAATCCCGTCGCATAGATAAGTGCTGCTAAAACATCTTGAATCAGAGCACTGGAACTTGGTCACTTCAAACAACAAACAGAAACGTTTAGACAATTTTCGCTCTGGCTTAAAAAGAATGGTGTGCTTGATGTGAAGGTAAGCTCATCTTGGAATGAATGCCAAGAGTGGGTGGAGGACGAACTAAGGGAGCTGTGTGTGTTGGGTTGTTTTTAGATTAGGTAGTTTTGCTTTTAATATTTTATTTGGGGTTTAATTGCGACTAATTAGTCCTGTTTTAATTAGGTATATGCCTAAGGCTTTGAATTTTTGTAATTTATTTTGTGGATTTAGGATTGATTCCAGTGTAAGTGCGGTTTTAAGATTTGGAGTGTTCTGTAGTGTTGGGTAGTGTGTGCAGTGAATGAGTACGTGTTCTGGTGTTTCTTATTGTTTGCAATGTGGGCAGTTGTGTGTAGATTAGCTATTTTACGGTGATTATTTAGTTTGGTGTGGCCAATTTGTAGTTTAGTCATTATTCTGTCGATTTTTTTGGATTGGTGTAGTATTTTTGGCTTAGTTAGGTTTTTTTGAGTACTTTCCTGGTTTGGCTATTTGAGTTTTGGTGAATGAGGGACATTGTACAGAATATAAATAGTAGGTGGGGGATTAACAGAAGATTAACAGTAACAACAATTGCTTACATGAGTGGGATAACATGAGTGAGTGTTGACAACAGAAGGATAATAGGTCACAACACGATGGACATAAGTGGTCAGAGATGTCTTTGCTGGGATATGGCCTTGATTTTGCGATGATGGCGAATTCGTTTCGTGATGAGGCGTGGGGAGGCGGTTCACCCTCACCAAACGAGCCATCAACCTTTCTTCGGCTGACCCCAAACCTGATATCGAACACCTCCGCCAAGTCTTCACCCACCTCAACAATTATCCATCTAATCTCGTCGACAAAGTCATCTCCTCTGTACTCCATCCCACACCCAGACCTGCCACCCTTAAACCCGAATCAGCGCCCTTCCGCATCGCCCTCCCAGGAAAAGCCTCCCACATCACCAGCCGCCTCCACAAACAGCAAGCCAATATTGACACCCACTTCACCAGATCCAACACCCTGCTTAGAGCCAACGGCAGGAACACAACCAAACCCCAAGAGCCTAAAGGTGTATTTTACAAAATTGACTGCAACTGTGGACAATCTTACGTAGGTGAAACATCCCGCCCCATCAACACCAGAATCAAAGAGCACAAAACCCCAACCATTAAATCAGACAGTAAATCAGCCATCTCGGACCATATGAACAACTGTCCTAATCACAACAACAACTGGGACAACGTCCAAATCCTCTCCAACAACCTCCATGATTTCACTAAAAGAAAACTAACAGAAGCAGTCCACATTCGCCTCCACAAGCCATCAATCAACAGAGATCAAGGCTATTTCATCCCACTCGCCTACTATGAACTCATCCAGCAATAATCACTTATCCTGTTTAATTGGCTTCATGTCACATTGGCTTCCACCAATGTATTCTCTGTCGATCGTGTTGTGACCTATTATCCTTCTGTTGTCAACACTTACTCATGTTATTCCACCCATGTATGCAATTGTTGTTACTGTTAATCCTCCACGTACTATATACATTCTGTACAATGTTCCTCATTCATTGGAAGAACTACTCCACGTCCTACAAAATAGGGAAAAGGGCACAGCCCCAGTCTTAGACCTTACTTCATACCAGATAATTAAACAACTACCACCCAAACTACTCCAAACTCTTCTAAAACTCTATAACCTCATATATCTAAACGGACAGGACCCATCACCTTGGAAACAAGCCCTGGTCTTACCAATCCCAAAACCCAATAAACCAGCTGACCAGGCTAATTCATACAGACCACTCTCCCTAACTTCTAACTTATGCAAAGTAATGGAATCAATGGCACAAAACAGGCTACAACACTACTTAGAACAAAACAACATAATAGATCCAGACCAAAGCGGTTTCACTCCTGGACGCTCAACCTTAGATAGCCTCGCTCGACTAGAGCAGGACATTAAAACAGGCCAACTTAACAAACAATATACTACAGGCATCTTTCTAGACTTCTCCAAAGCATTCGACATGGTTGGCATAACGGGCTAATACAAAAACTACAAAAATAGGTCTTAAAGGTCAAATAATTAACTACATCCAAAGTTTCCTAACAAACCGCAAAATCACCGTTGGCATAGACCAAACGCTATCGGACCAATGTCCCCTAGAAAATGGCACTCCCCAGGGCAGCATCCTAAGCCCAACACTCTTCAATATTATGATTAACGATCTATTCGAGGGACTATCCCCCAAAGTAAACACATCAAAATTCGCCCTAAAAACACCCCCCTCTCGCTCTATATATCACTAATTAGGTCCAAACTAGACTATGACAGTGCCATTTACGACACCCTAAACAATTCTCTCATTAAAAAACTGGACTCAATCTAGTATCAGGCCCTAAAACTAATCACACGAACTCAACATGGCACCTCCTCCACCTCACTCCAGGCCTTAACAGGAGAAATGCCACTTAAACTACGTAGGGAACATCTTACCCTAAACTTCTGGGCCGCGTCCAAATCAAACTCTCTAATCGAAAACTTAATAAAAAACAATATTAGCCCTAGAAACCAAGCCCAAGCCCGGAAAAATCCACTACTTACTCCAATTTCCCAAAGAATAATCAATTACCTAAATGAACACAAAATAAATCTTAAACAAAACAATAAATCATGCAATATCTTCATTCCGAGACTTAAAATACCAAAAATAGACACAACACTAGCCGATACACTAAATAAACAGACCGATCCTAACATCGCTAAAACCACCACACTAGCATACATACACGAAAATTGGCCAAATTGCTGTCACATATACACGGACGGATCCTCAGATCCGATCTCAAAACACACAGGTTTCGGAGTCCACATCGCACAACCAACCAAAAACACCCAATCTTACCGACTCCCAAACAACCAATCCATATTCACGGCCGAACTCATGGGCATGGCCTCAGCACTACACAATCAGCAATCTAAAAAACACCAAAAAATCCTCATCCTAACCGACACCATCAGTGGACTACAAGCCCTCATAAATAAAAACACTAAAAACCGCCCAAACTAATAAATCAAATACTCAAAAGCTCAAACAACTTAACTAAGGCAGGTAAACAAATAGAGTTCATTTGGATCCCCGCCCACGTAGGAATCTTTGGAAATGAAAACGTAGATAAAGCAACTAAATTATCCCTTAAACTTCCAGAAATAAGCTTAAACTTACCCAGCTCAAAATCAGAAATCAAAAGTGTCACTAAACAAAAAATCAACAAAAAATGGCAAAATATATACCAAAACTCAAATAGCCAAATCAGGAAAGTACTCAATAAAACTAAACCAAAAATACTACACCATCCAAAAGAATCGACAGAATAATTACTAAACTACAAACAGGCCACACCAAACTAAATAATCACCGTAAAATAGCTAATCTACGCACAACAGGAAACTGCCCACATTGCAAACAACAAGAAACACCAGAACACGTACTCATTCATTGCGCACACTACCAAACACACCGAACAAAACTACAGGCCTCCCTAAATCTTTAAACCGCACTTACACTAGAATCAATCCTAAATCCACAAAATAAATTACAAAAATTCAAAACCTTAGGCATATACCTAATTAAAACAGGTCTAATTAGTCGCATTTAAACCCAAATAAAATATTAAAATCAAAACTTCCTAATATAACAACCACCCAACACACACAGCTCCCTTAGTTCGTCCTCCACCCACTCTTGGCATTCATTCCAAATCTCAAAATTTCGAAATTACTATATAAGTAACCCCTAAAGCCCCCCTCCTGGGTTGCACAAACTCACTTTCCCCCTTTTCGGAATCACATTAAATGGCCTGGCCGGGCCCGTGTGCGATAACGCTTGCAGTCGGAAAGCTCATGTTAAATCTCCAATATAAGTAATTAAGTAAGTCCTCAATCAGCAAGAAAAAAAGGAAAAAAAAAGAAAAAAGCATTAAATAAAGCCAAGCGGGACATATCCTAACTCCCATTGGTCAGAAAGCTCAGAAACTCCACTAAACAACTCATAAGAACAGCCAAAAGAAAACATCGGGAAACTTTCACTAACACTTTGAAAATGGGGAAACAAAACAGTAAAATTCTATGGAAAAGACTTAAGGCAATTAAAGGCAACTCAAAAACCTTTACAGCCCCCACTTTTCCAAATCTTAATACAGACAAAGAAAAGGCTAATGCCATGGCTGCTCACTTTTCGGCAACCAGCAGCTCCACCAACCACACCCCAAACATGCAAAACAAAATAAAAAATCACCCTACATATACACAAAGATCACCCCTCACCCATCTGTCATTCAACAAAATAATCAACATCCACGAACTCCAAACAGCAATTAAAAACAAAAATACAGCCCAAGCCACAGGCCCAGACCAAATCAGCTACATCATACTTAACCACCTCCCTATCAAAATTCTAAATTTACTCCTACAACTATTTAACCTGATTTGGATCCCCGGCACTATACCACAGACATGGAAATCAGCCCTAGTGGTACCGGTTCTCAAACCAGGGAAATTTCCCCCGAGAACCGGATTCCTATCGGCCCATCTCTCTAACTTCCCATATCTGCAAAGTCATGGAATCCATCATTAATAATAGACTAAAATTCCAAATTACCTCTCAAAACCTCCTTAACGAGGACCAGAGTGGCTTTATGTCAAGTCGCCAAACTTTAGACCATATTTTACATTTGGAACATGACGTAAAAACAGCACTTGCCCAGAAACAATACACTTTGGTCATTTTCATCGATTTTAGTAAAGCTTTTGACATGGTCTGGTATAATGGCCTTATTCAAAAACTTAAAGATAAAGTTATAGATGGTAGAATTCTAAATTTCATCCACTCTTTTCTAACCGACAGAAATATAACAGTAAAGTCAAATCAAACTCTATCCGACCCTTACCAATTAGAAAATGGCACCCC